TGTAAGGACACCATAAAATTAAACTGTTTTGTCCCAAAGACCCAGCCAGTTTCAAACTTCTCGACCCAGAGTCCAACACACTAACTTTTAGTCCACCGCTTCTCCCACTCTGTGTTGAATAAGATCATGTAAAACTTACCGTGGCGTTAACTATTTTATCCCTGACACAGTATGCTCCCTTTGGACATGGTATGATACAGAGTTGGTCCTGGGGACAATAGAAGCCTGAAAACATTCATAAAGTCAATATTTCATCAACTTTACGGTAGATTCTTACTTCAAGCCGACAGATGACTTTTCGCCTTAATTGTGTTTTTTCTGAGAGTTGAATTCATCCCTTTTATGAGATCATGAGAACAATTTGGTTTTCATCATTGCGCTGCCTCTTCTATATCTAATTCATCAACCCAAGAGGAGGAGGGGTGGGGGTGGGGAGCGACGAAGTCTGAGACCGAGAAAAGGCATGACTTGCAAAGCGGTCAATTCACAGGCTTGTCCGTAGTCTCGCTCAAATCCTTAACGTGCGAAATTAGTCGTGAATAACTCCTACCTTTGTTTTTCTACATCGGTCTGAAACTTCAATCGTAGTAAAACTGTGTATAGTCGACTCCTTTATTGCGGCCACCCTCCCCCTTCCCACTGTACCAACCATTCCATGACCGCACTTAGGATATTGATAGTAAATAGATCTTCTCCACAAAAAAAAACACTATTTTAATGAATTTCCCGCGTTTGGACATTGCTATGAAGCTGCTGACTATATTTCATTATAACAAACAACCGTAAGTTGTTGCGACTTCACACTTCCGGGATGGCAAAATGATCAAATGTCATCAGGAAACTACAAACTTACCATCAGGACAGGGTTCGAGTCTCTTCAAACTTTTGTTGAAGAAAAATCCTGCCTCACAGGCTGACGAATTTTGAGGTTTCATACAAAACGGTTTTCCCCCGCTTCTCTGCGTTGGACTTGATGTCATCATACTAGGAGTAGGTGTCGCTGCTAAGGCGTTACACGGTTTTGCAAACGGACAACAGACATCCACGTACTTTGCGGGACAGCAAGATGCGGGTAAATCGTCAAAAACATCTGCACACAAAGATTAAACAAACAATTTTGACTGAATGTTACTTTTGACTTGCAGTTGATAAAAATTTGTATGTCTAAAGTGAAGCCCAACTTTTCGTCCTTCTTTGCACCGTGTTAACCTCCTACATTTAACCATAAAATTTTCTTCTTCACTTAATACTCCTCTACGTTTTTATTCCGTTGAAACGGGAAAACACTTTGGGCAATATAAGAAGCCACGAGCGCTTGTTAATGCTCGTCTAATCTGCACTGACAGAATTTGTGAGTAAAGAGATGTTGCGTGACAAACAAAAAACGGCAGCTGTACCCTCATCCTCTTAATGTCATTCGCGTCACTCTAGCTCTTCCAGCGGCCTATTTTCCCACACGGTAAAAAGGTTGGAAAAAGAAACGATGAAACACTAAGAAGCCTTTACACAGACGAGAGAGTCCAACAGAGACGCCGCAGCTTCCTTTCCTAACCGAAATAAATTGACAGATTATTTTAATTTGCATATCTCGTGGTTATTTATGAGACTGGTTTTTCGGTTCTTGTGCTAAATAACTTGAAACACTCTTTTTGTTTCGGTGTTTATTTCGGTTTGCGGATTTTCCGTTTTGCAGCGGTTGGTTTTCGGTTTTCGTAAAAAAATACAGATATGTTTTCGGATTTGAATCCGATATGGTTTTCTGTTTTTCCTATTTGGGTTTCGGTTTATCTTCGATATGAGCGGCAATTATGCGCCTCCACTGATCTCGAGTAGCTGCGAAACCTCTGCATGCTCCGCTTGTCACAACTGTATCGGATCGATTTGGGTTTTGATAACTGGGATGTGAATATTTACCGGTTTTCACGGTTTTGCAAGCGGTTTCCGGTTTGGATCGAATTTTGTGTACGCGGTTTGCGGTTTGGATCGAATTTTTTGCATGCAACAGCCAGCAGTTTTTTACGACTATTGAACCGGATTGAATTGACAAAGAATTGACGTCGCTTCTCTTCTGCTTGCTGGTCCGCAAAATTTTTTTAATTCCTACAATTTGTTTTGTCGGCGCTCTTTACCCTTCTTGGTCCATGCAAACTGCGATGTTTTAGACGTGTAAAGCCCAGTCATAGTCATATACATATCTTCTGGTTTGAAGTGAGCCGAGCTCACTAGAGTAGAGCCTTTCTTTATCTGGCAAATTCTTTTAAAACCGCAAATTATAACGCGAATAAACGAGGGAGAATCTCATTATTACTGTTAAAATAATAATAGATTCATTACCTTAATCCAGTGTTGTGGATATGGAATGAATAAATATTTCATAGATAAAAACTGCTGGCTTACTCTTCAATCGAACGGGAAGGTCGATTGCTAATAACACGTGCATCCAACAACTCACTGGTCACGACTCCTCTCTTACCTCGAAATCTGGCTCTTCATCTCGCCTTTTCGGGGCAATCCATTTCGATCTCAATAAATCATTCGAAGGAAAGTTGAAGAAAGATAAATTCTCACCACTTTTATTTCGTTTGTCGTTACTACAGAAATTAACAACGCAACCCAATACCTAATGCCCGTCCAGCCTTGATTTGGTGCGTCACGCAATCTAAGATGGCGCTTCGTGTCGAAGGTGTATAGTCGTTTCTACGCTCGCGTATCCAAGACTAAAAATGAAGCCATCCTTCTTACTGAAGGTAGGGGGAGGTGTTTAAGGACCCAAGAGAGCGGCGAATAACAGAAATACTATGGCGGATGAATTAAAGAGGGTATTTAGCGATCCTGTTGACTTAAATTTTAATTTAAGCACACGCTCGAGCTAGTAATTGCGGTCTCATACATACACAGAGAATTTTCAATTAAAAGGTTAGGTACCTAACCACCGATAGCCTTCTTCGCGAGCTCGCCGGCCCCATTTCCCACTTCATCGCTCTCGAAAAGAAAATTAAGCTTAAGGCTATGTTTCATTTGGAAAATGAGAATTATCTTAAAGGAAGGTATATCATTCACAGCAATTAGTTTCTCTCTGATGCTCAAGTTTCACGCGGTCGAGCGTTTGATCCATCCTGAAACTGAGCACGATTTTTCAATGGTAAATGAAAACCTTATTTTGTTTGTATAATCGAAAAAATCCTGCATGATATATCTTCTCCCTTCTGATGTTAAAATACAGAGCAATGTGTCATGAATGGGGAAGCACACTTTAACCAGACATGTTGAATTGAATTAAAACTCAGATCGCTCTCGTTAGTTTTGCTACCTGTCCAGACATGCTTTCGTAAAAAACCCAGAGATTGCCCAATAATATGGTCACATTTCGTAAAAACTCAAGAGATGCAATAAAACTAGCAAGTAAATATGATCTAATACCTCCGCATTTCTCGCCATAAACCACTCGGGTGACGGAAAGTCCGAGAATGAAGCAAATTGTAGTTACCACACGGAAAGTCATGTCTTCTTCGTCCTTCGAGATTCAAATGCTTGTGGTTCGACAAATCGCGAACATTTGAATAGTTCTCTTCCACTTCTACCCTTCAGCCTGAAGCATACAAGGATAAGTTATGGTTTCGTAACAAACTGACACTAAGGCTCATCAGACCAAGCTTCTTCAGATATGAAATGTTAATGTCATTCGGAGCATAGTGACATGTCACTCACAAAGAAGACAAACACGTGGTAAGGGAAAATTAGGATTAGATTACGGATAGGACCACTGACGGGATCACGGACCAGATGTGAGAAATTCAAAGAATATAAGGATAAATAAGCAGAAGGAGGGCTGTGTGATTTTCAGTTTAGCGGTTTTTCGGCTATCTTATAGATCGGTATTTCGGTTTTTGTGCCAAAAAAGCTTCGGTTTTTCGGATAAGTGCTCATTGCGGTTTTCCGTTTTGAGTGGCTACTGCCTCCTCTAAGAGGCGAAGCCACATATGTGGTCGAAATGAGTGAGTGAGCGAATGAGTGAATGACATTAGAATTCCGATGTTTACCCAATTTTGACCCGTTGTTTCCTACTGCTACTTATTGTTTGGTCGGAGAATCTTAAAATAGTTTGACATTCGTACTCGATACACTGTTGAGTTCCCTCCTTTTGTGAACTCTGGTTAAAAGACACTGGCGTATTATGTTTTCAGTTCTTGCCGTGACACTACGAAAGACATTAAATGGCGCAGAAGTAGTTTTTAGCTATTAAAACAAAACTTTTCTTTGCAGAAATATCGTAATAGGTGTGATCAGTGCATCATGAAAGAAAGAGAAAACTGTTCTTGGAGAGCTTGCGTATAAAATACGTGCTGAGAGTAACATCACTGGTGCCCTGAATGATCCCCAAGGTCATGTTTCTGCAGAAACAATAAAATCTGTTCATTTAATGGAATGGGACCTAGGAAGACAAGAAGACATTCTAGGAAAGTATGACTCTCTCCTCTCTCACACATTCTTCCCTCTAAAAATAGCTTTGGAATTATGGCATAATTCGTATTGAAAAACAAACGAGTGATAAAACCTGAAACAGCTTTCTATGCAGACATCACAGTTCTAACACTACTTATAAACACTGCTTGCATTCACACTTGTAATTCTAAAATCATTGAGTGCCCATACAAAATTTAAATCCGTTTAAATTTCCAACGAAAAAACCTGTTTCTCAAAGATGTGCCCGCCGAAATTGACACCAGAAACTGCAAACAACGCTTAAAATACTCGACTGGAAAGGATAAAGGTTCACGTCGGCCAATTTTCAAAATTAAAATGGATTCTCTGAGAGGAAAGATAGATCTGCCGTTTGCCGTGCATGATTTGTCGTGGGTTATAAGGTTTTCAGAAAATCGTTCTAAAAGTGACCGAATTTGGAGTATTTTCAAGTGCAAAAGGATGATGCCTCTATGGAGTAAAAATCGTTCATTTTAAGTGCAAATTGTAGATACATCTTTAATGTTCAAAAAACCCTGCGTTGATTTAGAAGCAAGCACTTCTTAAAATCAGAATAGAGAGTTTTAGGGCCTGTTTACATGGAGGTGGGGGACCCCAGGTAGTTGAGGTAACCCGCCTGTCCATATAATTTCTTATTTTATTTTGATCACGTTTACATGATAGGTGGGGTGACCCGCCTAGGTGGGTTTCCCGGTCTGCCAGGTAGGGTAACCCTGTCAGCCGGGGTGACAAATTGCCATGTAAACGTGTCAAGGTGGGGTAACCCGCCTAGCCGGGGTCGCGTTCATGACAAAAAGCTCAAAAGCGAAACGTGTGTTTTAAAACTTTGCACATTTCCTAGCCGTCTCATGGCAGAAATCACCAGAAACACACAAGGAGTGTAAAATGTTCACATTTCGGAATATTTTAGCGTTGTAAATCGACCATATTTGGTTTCCAAAAAACTATTCCGCATAGGGTCAACGGTTCCTCGCGAAACCAGACACCGCGTAACACAACGCGTGCCGCTTCCATGAATAAAAACATATGTGTCCGAGAATTAATCTTCCGTCTTTTTCGAGATGTGAGCTTAGGACGACTCTGCTCAAACTCCTTAACTGCAAGCGTAACAACAACCTCAAGAAACCTTACCCCAGCAGCCCGGGGTTGTAAGATTGCATGTAAACGCGTTTTTTTTTTCGACCACGGCTAGGCTGGTTACCTCACCTACCGAGGGTCCTTACACCTCCATGTAAACAGGCCCTTATAAAGCCTAGTGGGCCAATTATGGTCCATTATTCAATCAAAGGCTCTTCAAAGCGAACTTGCGATCAAATTTGCCGCTTTATCGGTTTTGAATAATTAATTATGTCTACGTATTCTGCCCGATATCATTTACACTACTAACGTAATACTTCCAGTGCAAAACTGCATAACATTTCTTTAAAAATACAATGATATAATGAAAATACCGTAACTGGTTTACAATGTAATACAGCTATTACTATCAACAACACGGTAATTTATCCTCGTATGGGAGAGTGGGTAAACCTTTCATTCTTGGCAAGGGGGGATTCTGAGACCAAAATGTTCTAACAGCTAACTTACAACTTATTCCCTGACTTCGGCCGCTGCGCTATATCTTCATATGTTTATGTATCTATTTATAACCCGCCCATTAATTTTTGCGCGATTTCATTGGCTACTTTATGTCTCGTGGTGTGTTACCGGACAGGTATCACGCAATAACTCCCGTTTGCGTCGATATTTGTCCTGAAGAAACAAATTCAGCGGAAAAAGCCACCTCAAGAATTTTACTAGTCATCTGTTACGTGGAGGAAAGATAATCTCGTTTTTTAGATTCCAGTGATGTGTGACATTAAACGCTGGTCGTAAATGCTGTTCCAGAAAGCACAAAAAGATCAACAATGGTTTTTGTTTGTTTGTTTGTTTGTTTGTTTTTTATGAGCGATTTTGCGCAGTATGAAAATTAATGCGAGGGTTATAAAACAAATAAATCCCCTTTCTGGTTTGCTTGTCGGCTAATAATGTACCTGGCCTGAGAGATTGTCTTAAAATATCACATTTACGCTAAAAGTTTCGCTTCTCGGCCAAATATTCTTTTTTCAAACACGCTAGCCGCCTGAAGGGGTTTATTTACTTAAGTTCGGTATTACTCTCGAAATTGTTTACTTTACAAATTGAGGAAGCTCTGTTCCATAGTGTCGCTATCGAGCCTGTTTCAAAAGTTGAATAAAGATCAGAAACAAGAAAAAACAGCAAAAGAAACGGTGGAAGAGCCTATTGCGCCAACTACATTTATGAGTTGATAAAGAATTATACCGGATTCTTTATTATTGGCTCTTCAGCCAAAGTGTAATTTTTCCAAACGTAATGCATCTCGGAATAATGATTTATTTCAACAGCCGTGATTTTCTGCTTTGAGTACAGCAAGCAGTTACCTTTAGCGTTAGCACACCAACTACCGATTTTCTTGTCGCACATCACAAACGCCTGACAAAATGCATCTTCACCACAAAAGGAAATACACTCAGAAATATTGGAGACCTGCTTCTCGCCACGGCGTGGCTGAGTTTCTTTGACTTTGAGATCTTTCAGAACAAAATTTTCCTTTAATCGTTGCAGTCTCGACAGGAACACCACCAGTTTGGAATTCTTTTTAAGCGCTGTAAGATCCTTTCTCGTGTCGAGAAGCTTGCACCCCCTCCACGCAGAATGCTGGACTGCCACGCACTTCTCATCTAAGAGACAAATAGCTCTACAATCTGTCTCATCCACGTTTGTCAAATATCTATAGCCTAAAAGAAAGCAGAAAATGAAAATTTTTCACTCAGAGTTGTGTTAACAATTCTAAAACCCTCGGAAAGTTATCACATGTCCTACTGAAGAGTATTATTAAAAAGTGTAATGATGGGCATCCTTGCACAATTTGTTTTGTTTCTTTACCTTTTTTATTGATTAATATACTTGCATGCGTGGAAGAAATCAAATTTTAGCTGATCGGCACACTATAAATCTGGCTCGTGAGAGAGCACCCTTAAAAACAAAATTCCAGGTAACTATTGCACTATCCAAAAAGCTTGAAGAAGTATGTTAACTTCTCCAAAGAAAGTCTTAGACATTAATTTTCAGAAGAGTTTTGAGCTTGAGTTTTGACATCTTGTTAAACCCTTATGAAATTTCCGCAATCCCTATCCAAAGTCAAGTGTAAAAAATGTCGCGAAAAAGTCCACGTTATAACAAAATTATCTTGCGGTTTCAAACTTTATCAAAATTCCTATATCTTTCTGATGATGTAAAAGTTTGACACACAAAAACAAACAATCAAAATAAATTCGGCAACATTACCAAAAGTCGTTACTCCAATGTTTTCCAGTGAAATGCCCAAATGAATGTCGTCGTCACAAGAATCTACCCGTCCCTCTTTTTTTAGAGCTTGGCAATAATTTTTTGAGGCATTCTTGATCATCTCACGCACAACATCCAACTTGACGTCAGGAAGATGCTTGGAATATCTCTCAGTAAACAGGTTATGGATGGGCGTTAGAGTGTACTTTATTGGAACTGGATTCTCTTGGACAGAGGAAGCCCACGTCATAGCATCGCCGTTGCTCGGGGGAGCTGCTCCTACAGTGATTGTGCTTGTCTCCACAGACTTCTGAAAGTTGTGAACAGCAGATCTTTGCTCTGAGTCCATTGAAAATCCCCCTCCAATACTGAAAAGCCCTGAATAGCTAGCTTGTGCTTCTACACTAATTTTCTGGCTCCTGAGCTCTGAGTACTTTGTTTGACTCATTTTATGGTTCTTCATGAATCGCGCTCCAAACGTAACCTCTGACAGGTAATGAGTTCCGTAATATTTGGTGAACTCAAAGACTGCATCACTGTTACCGTTTGAGTTGGATAGTCTCTTTGCCCAGCTTACAAACCCTGGATGAAAAGGAGGGGGATCCGTTTCGTCCATTTTGCTGAAATAATAACGGCACTGAGCCTGCGAAATGATGTACAGGTACTCTCCTGACGACATTTGTGCCACAGATTCTTTGTAGCTTGCGCTTGCGCTAAATTTAAAGCCCCATCCACCTCCTATGGTATGAAGAACATTGGTTTAGTTTTAGTCGTCTATTGGCACCGGAATAGTGAAGGTTTGTTGTTTTTCGCTTACGGTCCACCCAAACAGAGCATTTGGATATCAACTGAATGAGTGCCTGCCTGTTCGTATGATGGTAAGGAAATCATGGGAGGCGAGGAATTTACGTTTGCCTCGTTATCCTTTACTTTTGACAAGATCAAATAATGGTAATTTTCTGACTGTCATAAAGTTCCAGCCTCAAACATCTTACATGGTTTCAATAGGAGAGGAATTCATTAATGTTAAATAGGCAAACGCTAATAAAAAAATTGATCCCCTCTTGTGCCGAGGTAAAGTACAGTTAAAAAGTTTGGATATCCATGTGATTTCATCGAACATCTACATCTTTTTCCAGACCTAGGTATATCAAAAAATTCTTTCGAAGACTCTGGGAACAAGAGGAGTAAATGAGAGTCACTTAACGGTTGTTAAATTTTCCTGTTGTTGCTGATTCTGAAACGAGTTACTCACACAATCATATGAGCGAAAAACACGAAGTTATAAGAGGAATCAGAGGAGTATAAGCAACGAATGTGAAAACATTTCGCAACGAGCTTTGTCAGGGACAAATCAAGAGACAAAATAGTATTTTTGAAACCCACCTTCAATGTTAGCAGATGCCTCAAGAGACTTGGACATCTCCAGTCTGTTCCGCACAAGTTTGGAAGAGAACGATGTTTCACAGGACACGTCAGGTACAACAACCAAGCCTTCCGGGACGCTGTAACGACAGTCAGAAGTCTGCTTTGCAGAAGTGTAGTCTGTCATGAATATTGGGTGAGTGAAGCCGGGATCGTGGCCTGTTGCCAGTGGATAGCCCTTTAAAACGTCATAGCCAAAGAGGGCGTAATCAAGATCCGGAAAGGATCGCTTCCAGTGAGGATTTTGGCATTCTTGAAGCAGATTGTCTAGCCGCACTCCTAATATAGGTATAAGAATTGTGGTAAGTGCAATGATAAGGTAATTATGTGGGAATCATTTCGTAGCTTCTATCTTTTCCTTGTCCAAGAATAGATTTGGACCTTCGAAGAGTCAGTAAACAATTTTTATGAGCAAGAAAAACAAGCGCAAATGTCTTTTTCCAGTCAAGTAGCTAATTTAACTTTTTGGCTCATTTAATTAGATTCATTCTCCGTGACAACAGAGATTTTATGGGATTTGAGTAGATGAAAGTAAGGTAATGCTTTTTGTAAGAATTAAAATTTCCAAATTTTAGTCTTCTTCATTACCATGTGTTTAAGGGGTTCCTAGAATCTCGTGGAGTTTTAAACACGCAACTGAATTGCATGTACATTTTTTCATATGCTTAAATGATTATTCAACAATAATGCCCTCTTCGGGGATTAATTGTTGAATATACGTTTTCACTCTTTCGAAGTTTTCTTTTATTCCATTCACGTTCTTACCGAAGTCTAAAGATGCTTTCCCGTCTTTTCCTTGTGCCAACGGCATCTGTAAATTGAGCGACTTACTCTGAGCCGATTGAGGTGATTCACTCAGACCAGACGAGTTACTATAAATTGAACAACAGCAACAAAAGCGGTAAATTTGGCACACGACACTCCAAGTACGTGCAGGGAGGCATTCCCATCCTCCGCACCCAGACCGCACCGCGAAATTTGATTTAAATTATTTTCCCTGTTTCTATTCTCTCCTCCAGTCTGGAGGCAAATAGAGTTTTCACGTAATTAAAAGAGCTTTAATCTCCTAATTCTGACGACTTACAGTCGCGTCACAACAAGGACTACTTGGTTGCACATCTAATCTCAGTATAGGTGTTTATATATACTTCAGGAAACTTTTATTAACAAATTTTCCCCTAGTAATGAATTAAGAAGTGAATCGAAATCGATTTTTATTTTCTATGGTTCCCTTTTCATAATTCGCTCGGAAGTATGCCAAATTTTCAACACTATTTGATTGAAGTGGCTTTAGAAATATCTAACATGCCGTTACCGCCAGTCACAGCTATATATTTAGGAGATTTATGATGATGAAGGAGTAGAGAGTATCTGTACCATGTGTTCTTTACTTGTTTTACAAGCATCCTACCTTTGAGATTGGGAGGCATACACGAATGTTATTAGCACAGCCACAGCTATAACCAGTATCACGAAAATTGCTGATTTCCATTTCTTCCTTACTAGATTCTGGAAAACAACCGGAAAGTGGGAAGAGATTCATTTAATTTACTATATAATCCCGTGCTCCTGCACTTGAAAATACAAGGAGGTAGATTTTCCTAAACTGTGATTTGTTGCTTTGTTTTGGTCTCATTACCTTTCCTGGTGGATGATACTGAAAAGTTGAAGGAACAAACCATAAGTTTCCAGGTTTCAGAGAATTCATTGGAAGAACCGTAGAGTCACATATCTATATATATTTGAATTGAAGCATGGTACCATGGCTTGGTTGATATATGTATATGAGAAAAACATTATAGACTTCGAAAGGCACAAATATTATATACTTTGGTAGTTAACGTTTCGCCGGTTAGGGCTTCATCAGCACAAAGATAATAAAAAAATGAATTATTTTATCATTATTGCTAACCATTATTTTGATGAGGGAAATGCGTTCGTGTAGGTGACAATAAGGATTGGAGCAGGTTGTGCCGGCTTTAGTCTTTCTATCTATGGGCTAACTTTTAAAGTCCACAAAACACTTGATCACATTTAAAAGACTCTTAAAAGGAGTCAAGAGTCCTCCGGCATGAAAATCATTGAATCAATTCAATCATTCAAATGAAAGAAGATCTATGATCGTGCATATTTCCACGCGAATTACAGCTGCACCAACCTTAGACTTCCGATAAAGAGTTGGATTATCCACTTCGCCAATCTGACTCTGTAAGGCCTCAATCTGTCTCTCTTGTGATTCCACAGTACGCGAGGTTTTGTCCACCTCGTCTTTCAATGCGATGTTTTCCATGTAGCGGGCTGCTGGACCCTGATTTAAATGAGTGGAACAAACGTATTTACCTTCAGCAAGAGAAAACTATCCCTATGACCCCTTTAGATTGCCCAGCGTCTAATTGCTCCTTACAAAATCACCCCTGAATCAAACATTCACGAGAATAAAGGAAATTATCACCCACTAAGGAAGCTCTTAATTGTGAATCAAATTCTCCTTGTCATGGATAGAGAACAATAAGGAGAATTTACATACTGATGTTACAGTGTAAAGGGTTAAACCGTTAAAACCATTACAGGAATTTTGCCTTTTAGTTTTATACGGACGCTAAAGTTAGTTTCACCAGACGTGCGTGCTGTAAACTGTCGCTTAAAAAAAATACATTTTCCTTTGTACAGAAAATCGAGATCGCAGTCTCATCCTTATTACCAAATAAAAATCAAGGCGGCAAGTTTCTAAAGAAACTGTGGTGCTGCGTCGGTGAGAGATATATACAATATAATTTGGTTTTATTAACTGAATTGATTGAGTAAATTGGCCACCGTAAAGAGTTTCTAAAACTGACGTTTCGAGCGGTAGCGTCGAAGCGAATGCTGAAGGCCCCTGACGAAGGGCTGAAGCTCGAAACGTCAACTATAAAAAACTCTTTACTGTGGCTCATTCACATTATCAACGCGGTTTATAAAACCAACTTATCAAATAAAAAATAATTTGACAGCAGCTCTAATAATCTCAGCTGTAGTTTATAGCCCATTATAAAGGCTTGGATATAAATTTATTAATCAGATGATGCGCAATATACAAGATTTAGTGGATTTATGATACGCCAAACTTCTAAGAAGCAGTCCACGGCTTCAAAAGAGAATGGAAAACACTATACCGGACGTACATTTTTCACTCGGTTTTCTACATAACAGGCGAACAAGAATTTCTGAATTGGCCATATCAACTGAAGAGCACGTACGACCAATCCTCAAGAGTCAAGTTCTTCAACAATAACTCTACACGACGCGGGGTTGATTTGCATAGCGAAGTTGTTGACATAAGTTCGCTTTAACCTTCTACAAGTGAAATTAAAGAAAAAACAAACAAACAAACTATACGCTGGATGGATGCTGAAGAAATTAGAAACCTCCTGACCAAGGCTGCATGTTTCACATATAAGTACCTCTATGTATTTCCATGGGATTTCGTTATGATCTCGCCTTGGTGTGACATTGAAATGATCAGCGATAAGATTTCACCGATAGTGAAAGTCGCCGTAACTGTAAACAAACGGTATGTCTAGAAATTCTATACCATAAATGCTCCAATCCGAAGGCAACAAGTTGCTTATCAGTCGATGAGAATTATCACTTGTTGTACAGCGCTAGTAATGGTTGAGATAATTAGCAACTGTTTCGTTTGAAGCATCTCAAATGGGCGTCGGTATCTATTCAATCTGTGTTATATCGACAATAATCGTCCATTTGCTACTGAAATCAAGATTACTTGCTCAACCCTAAATTTAGAAATGTGTTGTGCATAAAGTGAGCCCGCTTTTAGTTGCATACCTACCTTACTCATGATTCAGGCCACTTTCAAACTCTCCTATGATTTTGGTCTTCAAGCCGTAGCTATTGCGCTAACAAGAATCTAGGCTAGAATAGATTTACCCGGAATGACCGACACTACAAATGGTCATGGGTGGAGTTTCTTAGAAATACGGTAAGCCGTGATGATGCTGATCCAATTACAATGGGACTTTCCCTATGATTGCTCGTTAAAAAATCAGCTCATATCTCAACCACTGAGTCAGGAATAACTAGATGACGCAATTTTCTTTCCGCATTCTCATCTAATGACATAACATCAGAGACATATTCATAGGCTGAGGGCCCAATTTAATTTCCGCTTCAGGCTATGGTGGATTCTTGGAACTGAAACGGATGGATATTCAAAATGTTTTTCTTCTGATAAAAATTTGGTGACTTGAACGATGCTAGTGACTCATAACTGTTAAGTGAACCTTTATATAAAACAGTAGACAAAAAAACATGAGTGCAGATTCGAGGAGTCAAACGTGACACCTTAAATATAATTTCGTGATGAAACTGTCTGAGAAAAGATATTTGATAGGATGAAAGTTTGAAATAATTGTAAAAAACTCTTCGGAGAGAAAATAAATTGATTTACGGACGCACCGCTTCCGACCGTTAACGTAGTGTGCTTATTATTTTTTTGTTCAGCTTAAAAACGTATCCCCGAAAAAAACTCGCAGGCCCTGATTAAAAACAACAACAGTCGATCTCATTGCTTGTCAGTTTGTGGTAGCAGGCAAATGTGAGGTTAAAATGACTTCATATTGGCACATATATGATATTTCGTTTTTTTATGCACCGATAATAAGTTATAAGACATATGCTAAAACATGAGTAGTGAATACCATACAGAGCGATTCCACAATTCCGTCCTAGTCAAATGCGCTACCGTTTTTGCTCTAAGTGTGCATTTTTTCGGTTAAACCTTTCCCTGATTGTGCGACATTTCGTTGGCAGATAGCCTAAAATAGCTAATTTCTGAAGTCATTGTTAAAATTCGTATTTTCAGACCCTAAAACATTTTTTTCAATTTAACGTAGACTTGGTTTTTACCTAGAGTATTATGTATGAGGCCAAGCGTTCAAGTTAGCCGTAAATGTGGTTCATAAAACGCCTGTCATACCTATAGTAAATTAAAACAGCAACATTTCTCCTACTATCATCCCTATTGCAGATCACTTATTTTATGATCTAAGAAATTAAAACAGTTTTGTTTTCCTGTGTCTTCCCCAACGTGGTCCGAAGAAATAAACTGAAAACTGATCAACAAGCATTTTAATTTATGCGGTTTTCGTCGTGGGGTTATCATTGTAATGCCTTATCTTCCATCTTGTGGGCTTTCTTTGGACGAATCGTGTTCTTCAGGCCCCGGTTGTTCCAAGGGTGTAACGCTATGCCCAGGAGAAATTTATATCTGGTGAATAACGCAATAAGTTGTGTTAACACTTATTTACTGGATAGTGATTTATCCGTCTGATAGCTTTATCCGCCATATGAACAACAGGGCCGCGATAAATTGATGGTTAAGCGTTCTTTGTCAAACTTACACATAAACAGAGAAAAACAATTATTCAGCAAAGCAAGGTTTAATAAATCACTGATGTTACAAACATCTTATTTACATCCCCTACCCCCTCCCCGTAATATTAAACAATTACATGGCATTACATAATGGTTTGTGCTCTCTGATCAATCAAGAACACTAAAACATGATAATACAACACACGATGCTATTTCACTCACAAAGGAAATTTTTTCCTTTTTGGGCATACTCACGATCCTCGGACATTTTCCGAAGTTAATTTTTTTTCGATCTGCATCCTGTCATTATCATTATTTTACCGAAGGCTTAGAAGAGAATATATTCGGTGCATAAATACAATGTTACTCTTTTATTCTCACAGACATTACCTTAGCAAACAGGTTTTACCCTAACAAATAGGTTTTACCCTAGTAAACAGGTTTTACCCTAACAAGCAGGTTCAAGTTTAGCCTAGCAAACAGGTTTTAGCCTAGCAAACAGGTTTTTCGTAAACGCTCCTAGAATCTCTCTAATCATCGGCATCCATTTTCAAAGAAATTCACGTAACCAGCTCAAAAGACTGGACCGATTTATTCCTTCGCTACTTGTAATCTGGTTTCAATTGGAGAAACAAAACCATGCCTCTTTTCTTCAGCATATGTTGTGCTCTTAAGATAAACAATTAGCTATTTGAGGTGAGACGCGGTTTGGGTTTACGTGATTTGGAGCCCTACGGAATATTAGCTTTGATGTACCTCCTCTTAATTGTGACATTCGTATGATGTAAATTATAGGATTAATTATAGAGTTGAGAATCAAAATTGTCATTGTTGCCATAACAACATCAAAAAATGACTGGCGTGAAAGGCTTATAATAAGGTCCGAAAAATTGATATCTCCCCAATACACTAACCTCGGCATGAAAGTTAACAATGATGCAAGGGTAGCAATGAACAGTGTTGTGGTCAGTTTTCTTTCCCTTAGGCTGACCGCACCATGGTGTTGAAGATGACGACTGCACCGGATTTTGATGTAAATTGAGACATAACATACAAGTATAACAGAAAGAAGAGAACACAAATATATGAAACGGATTAGGAATGAATGGACCCCAAAATAAAACGCGATACTATACATGGCTAAGGGGATTACCCAATTGACAGATATCATCACTCCATAAACCCATTTCCTTATGAAACGATGCTTGAAAGGACGAAATGTTGCGTGTACTCGTTCTAATGCAATGACCGCGAGGTTATTAAGAGAGATCTGATAAACTCCATGACCCACATATATTTGAAGGGAAGGTAACCAATCGAAATAAGACCTTGACTCCCACAGACGACAGAGCCCGCTCCCATACATTTCGATGATCATAGGCCCTACGATCGCCCCCACCAAGAGATCCACTACCCCAAGATGAATGATCAAGTACGTGCTTCTGCTCTGTAGCTGGCGCTGCTTCACAAATACAATAATGGTGATGATATTAAGGATGACTGCGGCCAGACATTCAATGCCGAAGACAGCAAGCCATGAAATGCAGTGGGAGGCAGAAATCTGCATCCAGTCCGTAGCGTTGGTTTTGTTGTAAGCCATTTACCTTTCCTCAGATATTTGCAATTTACCAAACGACCTATTAATGGAGAAAAATTGTTGAGGATTTTGTATCGATGAAACATTGATACAGTTTTCTACACAGTTTGCTGTGTTTTTTCTTTAATGTTCCGGGGTTAATACAGCCGCATAGCAGAAAAGAAACATTATTCTTTCTGGAGTGCCTTGCCAAAGAGAATAAACAGCGATAGACTTTAACCTAAGACATCTTAAGATTCCATGAAATGATGTCTAAAGATCTGTATTTAGCCAACATTCATGAGGAGTGACTATAAAGGCGCTGCTTTCGTTTTCTACGTTTCTTCTTCAATAGCAAGCATATTTAAAACAAGGAAGTGGAAAATTGTCTCTAACCCTTATAAGATAACAAAACATCTAATAGTTTGATAGAAATAGAAAATCGTCATACTTTGAATTTGGTGACTTAAAGCCGGATAAATGGATGCATACGTAAGGATGACAACTTTTCAGCTTGGACAGCCCCCAGTCTTTAGCTTAACGATTGTGATACGAAATGGATTTGTCCCCGAGTGGAACATATCTTAATAAAGTTCTCTATCTAATTAAAAAAAATGGGAAAAATAACAAGTAAATTACCCTTACACAGGTGAGCAGGAAAGACAAAAAGTTTAGTTAAGAGGAGTCGACCCTCGACGCGATGGATGTTTTAATTTTTTATCGCTCATTTTTTTTTCCTTTATTTTCTCTAAAGTATTTTTGCAAACACTTAAAATTTTTAATTAAAATTTCTAATTTTCTTTGAATCATTTGTTATTTTTAGACAAGCCTTTGTTTCAACTTTGAGGTTGTGACCGATGCATCAAAACATTTTCTTTTTATTAACGCTTTTCCATTTGACAGTTGGGAAATCTACATTTTTAATTCATTTAATAATTTGCAATGATATTGTAAGCGTGTCAAACTGTAGCCGGCAAAATAAAGGGCATCATATATAATGCCGTTAAGCAAACAGTAAGATGGAAAAAAATTAAAAACAAATAAACTCTATTGTAAGACTTCCTCTTCTTGGCATTTTCACTGAGTGTAATGAAACCTGATTTTACCTATGCTTTACTCTTCTTTCACTTTTCTTGGATCTGAAGTGGACTCACCTACTGTTATTCCATGGTCTGAAAATTTGATTTCCTTGCCAATACTGAGAGCGAAACAGTATGCATTCGATCCAGTCAATTTTGGTATCTAAGGAGAGTAATTTAGTTTGATTTTAAAACCTCATGTCATCTGTTAATATTGACGTTTGACTAAATTTTTTGACAGCGGTTCCGGCATCGTTCTGTTTGGACAACTTAAAGCCGCCAGTGTATGTAAATATATATATGACCATACGTATACATGACCAAATTTGTTGTTTGCAGAACTCACACTAATTTTTCGAGAGAGTATTAAATCCACTTTCACGTATACGTTTATGTTTCATCCAAAATTGAAGTTATGCGCCTGCGCTGGTAAACACTAAGCTATACTGAAAAAGTAGGTAATTTAGTGTTAACAACTGAGTTGAAAACGTAAATTGGCCACCGTAAAGAGTGAGAAAAATCTTTCTCGATCCACAACTATGCACAACCGTCTCTACAGACCTGCACACCTGTGTCTAGATACTATTAAAAAGCTACTAATTTGTGCGCCTTTTTTGGATGAATTTGGTTGCATATTTGCTGAGATATTTCAGTATGGGCCATTGCACACATTTTTCGTAATTAAACTTCAGTGCGAGTTTTACAAAGAAAAATTGACGCAATCAACTAGTCAATATCTCTCAGCTCTAAAAGCAAAATTCATTTACAATGCTGAACTTATCTCCAAAAATACAAAGTGGAGCTATACAACCTTTGTAAGTTTGTAAGTATTTGTTGTCGACCTTGAGGTATTATTCTAATCGATTTTCAAGAAAAATCCAGATCTGTTCTTTTGACGGAACGGAAAAGAAAATGCTTTGAAGTTCGCAACTGGGGGTTGTTGACTGGTAATTTTCAACTATTTAGTTTTAGTGGAGCTTTGACTATTGATCGTTATTAGGATGACATTCCTCTACGACTTTGAATCAGTTTTTACCCACTCCATCAGAGACCTGCACATTTCCTTGGAATAAGCCAAGAAGCACACAGGCTGATAATGATATCAGAGTTCTTGTTCTCTGTTTAGTTAATTGTAACGTGGACAAAAGCCTGCCATCTCCTTGCCTCGAATTTAGTAGGTCAAAAAACCCGGTTATTTATCATCGAGCTTATCGAGCTAGTGATATACGTTTATGTTTGTATTTATGCACTACATTGGGTATATTGATAGTTTTTTATTGATACATTTATCATTAGGTTCTTTCTAACAAGACACCCTTTCATCCCAGCAGGTTCGTGGTACAACAATGGCTCACTGGAATAACTTTCAATTTTTTTATTTCCAAAGTGAATCGAATCTGGTGGTGTCACATCTTTATCCCAGGATTAATTGTCGTTGTTCTGATCAAAAACGAAAGTTTTTTTTAATTTTCTTTTTACTATTATGCCGACCATTGGTGCCAGGCCAAACGAAACCAAAATAAACATGATGGATTGTATTCAGTGTCTGATATGCAGTAGAGGAGAAATCTGAGATGATATGTAACTGTGTTGCCGATTACTGCTGATGCCTGTTTAATTCGAATTCATTACCACCAGAAAATGTGGGAACTTTAATTTCTCGGTTAACGGTATTGAAAAAACTTGGTCGAACTCTTTCATTTTTACCTTATCTTGAAGTCTTGAATTCTTGAAGTTTTTAATAAACCATAAGATACAAGATACATATCCTATGTTACATAGACGAGAAACTGTGTAATGATAATTACAATAATATACTATGGCCAAAATTAAATTATGCAATTATAACAGGTTGTGTTCAAAAAATCAGTCTATTCACAAATGTGTTCATGAAACGTGCTATGTTAATCTATGGGCGGGGGCAAACCTTGCGACGTAAATTATATTGCTGGGGTTTAGGCTTCGGATTTTCATTTAACGGATGATAACTTGCAATAATAACTTGCAATGCAGTCTCTCGGTACAAGTACGCTTCCATTTTATAATTTCATCAATAGCCTCAGTCATATGATTATTTTTCTACAAGTCTTTTAACAGCAGAAAAGTGGAAGCGACTTACTTGAGCCGAATAGGTAACTGCTAGGACCTTCAGCTATCCTTTCTGCACTTGAATTCCAAGGTTGCTTTGCAGTATCTTAGATGTTTTCAAAAAGCTTCAATCTATTTCAAGATTTTTGAAAATTGAAAGTAGAAAACTCAATGCGTACGTTTACATAATGGAAATAAAAGACAAAAGAAGCAGGTTACATCAAATTTTGTTTCAGTGCGAGTAAAGAAAGATCAATAAAAAATTAATTAAATTAGAGAAATCTCAAGTTGCATCCGGTCCGGCAAATTTTTTAATTCGTAAATGCACAGTAATGGATTTGAAGGCAAACTCATTTCGAACCCGACAATTAATATGAGTCAAATGTAAACTTGAATTTGAAAAATTTCAGCCGTATGGTCATGCTCAAAGCAAAAATTGCATCGTTTTGTTTGCAGATACCTTTTAGTATCCATTGCACAGAAATGTATGGCAATAATTTATTTACAGAACCAAAAGCACTCAACTCATTTATTCGCCTTTCCGGCCGGCGCTTTTTTTGTTCAATATTTATCAATAAATTGCACAGACAATTTTTTCTCTGCATCTATTCATCTTTTCCGTACAGGAAGTTCAAGAAAGCTAAAAATTTTTAAGTAACTTTAAATGAACTAAAGCGAAGTGTGACCATATACATGCAAAAGGATTCTTTTACTCTTCATTGAAACGGAAAATCAATTTGTCATTTACATACATCACGAGAAGGTATATTTCTTTTGATATCAAACTGACTGCAGTTATAAGAAACTACATATGGAAGCCACAATACTTTCCACCCCAAACCAAAAATAACTTAAGTGAAATTGACATTCTACTTAATTAGTCGCCTTTCATCAATGCTTTTGTGTCTCACGTTACTACTTCAATAGTTGAAGAAATTACTTAGGGAATATTTGATACTTCCCTTCCCTAACTTTCTTGCCAAGTTAATGCTGTATTTTGAAAACATGCAACTAAAGATCGTGCAGTGGGATATCCATATTGAGATAGATAAAGCAAGAATGTGTTTCATTCGGACATTCAGACGCGAGCTGGCGGTACTTTACGAATCGTGCGATCTGATTGGCAGTATCTAACACCACGGGCAGAGTTTTTTTTTTCTGATACGGACCTCCCAACTGGTGAATAACATGCATGTATCCATAACAGATGCCCAGGAGCATGCCATACCTAAAAGTAAGTTTAATAACGCAGGAAGTCTTTACATTTTAAAAGCTTTTAATGATTTCATTTAACTTTTGACAATCCATGCACAGACTGATGCCCTTTACCAGAATATGACTCTCACCAGTAAGTTACAAGAGAAAATAAACTTGGTTAGCCCATGGTCCGCCTTCCCCATCCTGCTTACAAGCCGTGGATTTTCCATATTTGCCAAAGGTCATTGGCGCAGTAGCACTTGATGCACACCAGCCACCATTCTGAACTGCAAACATTTTGTAACCCGCTCTCATGGCAGCCACGGCACATTTTGTGATAGGATCTTTTCTATGCCAATAACGCCCATCCAGGATAGAATCGTTTCCTTCTAGACTCTGGATTGCGCGTTTATTGGTGTCTCTATAACACCCAATGGATTTGTAATCTAAAGAACAGAAACCGAGATAAAATTAACTTCTCTGTTTAGTGGGAGGCAATATCGTAGTCACCTTTCGGTCAATCTATATCCAGTCGCAACGACTCTCACGCAGAAATGTAAAAGCAGCCACGTTTATTCAAATTAAACTACGTGCAATCTGAATATCTGTTTTACCTTTAGTTTCACGAGACTTCCCCTACAACCGCATTCAAGATAAAAAGAAATAATTAGAACTCAACTAGTTGTTGAAAAAATGTAAATGCTTACTAACCTTTGATGTAATAAACTTGATTAGCCCAAGGCCCACCTTCGCCATCTTGCTTACAGGCAGACGATCTACCATATTTGTTGAAAGTCTTAATAGCCGAGAAACCAGATGCACACCACCCACCATTCTGAACTGCAAACACCTTAAATCCTCTCTTTTTCGCTGCTTCATAGCATTTCTCGATGGGGTTTTGCCTTGTCCAGTAGTTACCATCAAGGATGGATTCTTTATTCTCGAGTGTTGGTATGGCACGGCTAGCACGATCTTGATAACACCCAATTGTTTCAAATTGAGGAGCTACAAAATAAATTGCCATGAATAAGCCTTTTTTTTCCAAAGTCTAGAGCACTTTGATCTCGAGTAACATCTTAACACTAAGAGAATATCAACTGATATCAGTTTATATTCTCTTGTTTTACACTAAACTCCAGTGGTGACTATTACTTACTCAATAATTTTTTATTCAAGGACTAAGAGAAAATATTTTACTTAACTACAAAGCATTTTTCCTCGTATTAAGACCAAATGTTGCGGTGCTTTTTTTAATTGATTTAAATGTGTGAATTAAGGCTGAATCTTCCAGATTCAACGAAACTTTTAAAATATTTGTATTGAAGCCCTTGTGTCAGCCTTATTTTTTCTCCATCTTTAAAGAAAACAATTTTTCTAATTTTCGGACTACAAGTTTAGTAATTTACCTTTCAATGTATAAACCTGATTGGCCCAGGGTCCACCTTCATCATCTGACCGACAAGCAGACGATCTGCCATACTTGTTGAACGTCTCCTCAGCCAATCTGCTTGATGCACACCATCCACCATTCTGCACTGCAAACATACTGTAACCCGCTCTAATAGCAGCCACGGCACATTTTGCGATAGGGTTTTTTCGTTGCCAGTAATGGCCATCAAGAATAGCATCTTTTCCTTCCAAGGTATTGATTGCACGAACATAGGTGTCTTTATAGCAACCAAAACTTCCGTAACCTGAAATCAGACGAGCGCGAAACAAGTTTTGGTGAATTTGATAACAATCAGGATTTGAACCAGGGGATTAATACTTTTTGTGAAGGATGACTTCTACCTTAGGTTACTTCTTAAATCAAAGGCTTCCTTATGTCAGGTGTACTTTCTTTTTTAAACAAAATAAGGTAACAAAAAAACAAAAACAAAAAAAGACAGATTCATCAAGAAATATCTCAGTGACCTTTTATGGAAAAATAATCTTCGGATGTTCTTTGTTTACAGCCTCCCTACTTTGAAGTCGTTCCACAATGGCGTCTAAATAATTATATAATTTATCGCTAATATTGTAAATACTAGTAAACCTTTGATGTAATAAACTTGATTAGCCCAAGGTCCACCTTCGCCATCTTGCCCACAGGCCGACGATCCGCCATATTGGTTGAAAGTCTCAGCAGCCGAGAAACTAGATGCACACCACCCACCATTTTGAACTGCAAACACCCTAAATCCTCTCTTTTTAGCTGCGTTATAGCATTTCTCGATGGGGTTTTGCCTTGTCCAGTAGTTACCATCAAGGATGGGATCTTGTCCCTCGAGCGTTGGTATAGCACGGGCAGCACGATCTCGGTAACAGCCAATTGACCGGTAATTATTTGACAATGCTGCGTAAATTAATCAAACGTTATAGAGTGACATGGAATTTTGCACGCTAAGTCTCTCACAAGGCTACTTTGCTTGCTGTGAGATTTGAAGAGACCGGTGGGTGGGATGGAAATACGCATATCAGATCTCTAAATATTTTTTCACGTTTGAACCCTTTTTTCTAATTCAGGTTAGCCCAAAGCTCTTTTTCTTTCTTCTCAAGTTAAGTTAAACGATTTGCGTTTTTCGCAACGCAAATCAGGTAGAAATTGCAGCCAGTTCCTCCAGAGCAGGTTGGCAGTGTCATTGGAGCAGAAAATTCATTTGCCTCTACCTGATTTGCGTGAAAAGGCATATGGGTAACCGAGGCAACGAAAACTTGTTTAAAATAAATGTCTGATCTAAAGGAAGAATGACAAGGGCGTCCTTAGGTGACACATCTTCGCGTCGTGTTTTTGTTTGTTTTTTTTTTGTTTTTTTTCCACGAAAACTAGAGGGCAACTAATTAAAAATTTTGAAAGAGAGACTACTTGATCCGATCGAAACCTTAACGTGACCTTACACGTTACATTTGGGGCATTTTACAGACCCTCCTGAAAATTAGTTAGGTTAGTAATGAACTTCGTTTAAAACGCAGTTTATAAAGCAGTTATATTGCAATAACTATTGAAACTTTTTTCAGGTTAGTTCTTAAATTACCTTAACTTGAGAAAACAGTTATTTGTTTTGTTCAGTGAATGAACTATCATTAATTATTCACTTGTCTCTTGTTCGCTGGTTCTGCCGTCGTGTGAAACTGAGAGAAGTAACACGTCAAATCCTTAATACATAGATACACCGAAAGACATATGGCTCTTTTGTGGCAAGAAATGCAACCACAAAAAAAATATATCATTAATTTCGAGGACCAAACTATTAAGCTAATCTAAAACGTAAATTGACGCGCAGAATACTCACCAACTTGCACAAAGATCAAAACAATCCCACAGAAAAAGACAGTGGCAATGGATGCATGATTCTTCGTCATAGTTCAATCGATATCTATTATAAGGGACGGAAAGATACAACTTTAACAATCCTGTTGACGTTTTTGTACCAGAAGCTTCAATGCTATTCAAAAACTATACAAATGAAATTTATTATGCTCGACCGTCGGTAAAGAGTAAGTTGGAAGCCAATCAAAATTGGCCATGCCTGATACGGGAAGTTAATATTAGGGGAAGTTGATATTACGAGATTTTCCTGTGGCAAAAAAACTCATTCATAAGACAACAGCGCGATTTTTTCTCAACCAAATAGAAAGTTGTTAAAGTTGTTGAACTATGTTATAGGTGGAATGTATTTTTATCTTTCCTTGGGAACTGAAGCTTAAACTGGCACAAACAATATTCACATTGATTGGCTGACTATTGGCTGAAGGCCAATATTTCTTGAGGCTCGACTGGCAAGTTCCTTGGTTACTTGGTTAAAGCTACACTATCAATAAGTGTTCCGCGTACATGCTTATGCACGAAATGGTGGAGACACAAAATTATATGCCCCATATAGAGGAAAGCAAATGGTTTTGAGTGATGTACGACTCATATTTATTGTGGGTCACAGTGGAGAGAAATCTGATCTGTATCTTTAGACTTTTTAACAAAATCGGACCACCGTGAAGCTGATGTTCGATTTGTTAGTCACATGTATGATTCGAATCAACAAATTTTTAGAAACGGATTTTACTATAAAAATTAACGTTCCTGAGAAGCAACGACGTTTCGATCGCTCAACGGTCATAATTAATTGTAAAAATGCTAATGAGATAATGACTAAAAATCTAAAATATTTACATAGAAACAATACGAGAAATTGAGGCAAGACGGATAAAAAACGCCAAGGCGAAAGAAAAAATATTAAAAGTGAATCGATTAGATAAATACTTATGCACGGATCGAATCACTCTGTTTGTTTAGTTTTGGTTTAAGTTCGCGAATGAAAAGCATTTCAAAGATCAAACAGTCCAGTTTACTCTGACATTTTTTCCTTCAACTTGAAAATGACCATTGAGCGGTCGAAACGTCGTTGCTTTTTCACGTTAATTTTTAGTGTAAAAAACATGTATATTTACACACCAAATTGGACCATGCGCACGCGTGCTATATTAAGGAGACCAGCTTAGACTACAGACGAAAAGGTTATTGAATGCCAAATTGCGGCAAGTTAGATTCCATTTCCGAGTGCGAGTTTAATATTTTTTTGCTCATTGCGCGAGCAGGCGGTACCATGCAAATCCTGCGATCAGCGCCTTCAGTCACACAGCCTACCTCTCCTCGATCACGTCAAGAGAAAAAAATTGCAGTACATCATATATATTGCATTTGAAACAGCACGCTAGATCATAATTTGGGATTTTTCGTGTACCTGTGACCATAATATTCTTCTTGAGTTCAAAAGTGGAGAAATTTATCTTCTCAGTATTTTCGACTAGTCAGGAGCCCACCACTTGGGCCCATCACTTGGGCTCCTGACGACTAGTTGACCTTTTTCTGATACAGATTTCGTGCAAACTTGTTATTCCAACATCTATACATTTTCCACTGCCGCAAATTAATGTAACATATACTCAATTATCAACTACGTTTACATTGTCTGCAGTGAGGTGGGTCGATACCGATATTGAATATTCGATACCGTCATTACCGAAGTCGGATCGAAAAATCTCAAATACTTACGACTCAGGTGCCATGACATCGGAGGAACGCATTTCAAAAAACGCAAAGGCGGCTAAGACTATCACTATTGTTAAGTCCACTATTTTGTTTTTCTGAATGCCGCTAATTCTACTAAGTTGAACCTCGATGATCGGTTTGCGGCAAAAAGTGTTTGGAGGCTTTGGAGGGTGTTTCGTGTTGCCCTCCACAAATTCGGCAATGAATCCTACTTTGTTTTTATTCTTCAATAAAGAGTTTCGCGAATCGTTTATAAAGCTGCTGTTCTTCCAATTGGGCATGTCATCGTTTTAATGAATATGATGCGCTCCGAACTATTTACATCCGGGTGCGTATAAAACACTAAAACGAGCGGCCATTGCAGTGAATAAAGGAAAACATCATTCACTATCTAAAATAGCAAATTTTCCTTCCTCACCATTAAGTAATCATTTATCGAAGGTGATCGAGAGAAGTTTGAAGTTTCTAATAAATCATGATGCGAACACCGAATTGTTTACATTCCAATGCGTTATTCGCTTGATGATACATGTGTTTCAATGCCTCGTATGAGTGAAAATTTTCTTTTCTTTCTGATTCATCAACAGCTCAGATCAAACAAATCTGCTGCAACCACTCGTGATCGGATAAATCCGCGAAGCGATGCGACGTGTGAGTGTGTAACATGATAGCATTTTTCACTACGTAAATTTTCCGGTGTCGACTCGTCGCTTTTCTAAAACGAAAAGTTCTTTCTTTTACCCAACAATGTAACACAAAGGAAACCAAAGACACATGAGTCGCGCATTTTTTTCGACCGTGCGCGCAGAAAAATAGATTATGCGCGTCTGACTACCCTGCGTCTGAGCGTATGGAATGCGTCTGCGTAGTCAACGTATCCCTGAGCGGTAATGTATTTAAACTACCGTTCAGATTTCGCTAGAATTGCCCTCTTAGCCTATGTAAATATCGGTAGTGGCGAACTTATCACGGAAAAGAAAGCAAGTATTAACCATCAGCCCACTCCTTTTGAGAATCGGCGGTAATAGAGCGCCTTTTAGCCCCACCGTATTGTCAAACGTGCAGTTAGTAACCAATGTACGCCAATTTTCATTAGCTGAAAATCGCTCGGTTAACAAATTGCAGGAAACAATGTTTTCAATAATTAAGCGGATGGGTAAAATAAATAATAAAGTTATTAAGTCTGACGAGGGGGTCACGATACGTGAAAGAGTCAGACAGCACGCATTACTTGCGGTAAAGATCAGTAAAGAGGGCAGATATCTTTTGAAAGATCACTTTTGGTGCTGAAAATGCTCTCTAAATGCTCAAGTAGCCTTCAATTAACTAGATAAACCACACTTGTTTAATCTAAACTGATGTGTTGAAATGTAAATTCATGAACTTTCTATAAATTTCTATAAATCTATGTCAGACATTTTGGCGAGTAACTCATCAACGAAAATCCCTACAGACATGAAAATTGAACGAATTGTTTATTTATCAATATTCGATAACAGCTCACTGTCTTGGCATCAGGTATTCAATATTTTTTATTTTGAAATAAATAGTTTAAACTTTCGCCTTCGATAGCGTTGCATTCACAGAGAACTTATAACTAGACAGGAGAGCTTAGAAGAAAATTGGGGAAGACGTGGAAATGAGATAAGCACATTACTGACACACTTGGGTGCACCTCTTTTGCCACTTCTCTGTTCTTACCACATTTTGACGCCATGTGATCTACATGTATTACTGAACAGATGCAACCACAACATTGAATCTATTTTACATGTTGAATTGGTGTTAAGATATAACAAACCCATTTTGAGCCACAGGGTTGCGTTCATTATTGACAGTTTGCGCTTAGCCTTGGTCTTGTACTTCTCTCTTTCTTTTAAGGCAGAAGAGCCCCCGGAAGTGAAAAAAGCTGATTCTTCCTCACCCCTCCCTAGACATATTTCAGCCAGGGGTGCTCAGTTCCACATAGACAGCTTGCAGTCGAGGTGCAGCAGAACCATTTTGAGCCAGAAGGTTGCGTTCATCATTAACACAGTTTGCGTTTAGCCTTGATCTTATACTTCTTTATTTTTTAAGGGAGTAGAGGCCCCGGAAGTGAAAGAAAAAGCCGATTCTTCCTCACCCCTCCCTAGACATATTTCAGCTAGGGGCGCTCAGTTCCACGTAGACAGCTTGCAGTCGAGGCGCAACTGTTCTAAACTTTACTTAGGACCTCACTTAAAGGAAGCCGTGGAGAGCGCGGTAACGTGAGCAGGTTTGTGTGCAATCGCGAAGTTTTTATTGTCCTTAAGATGGAGGAAGAATATGATAAGTTACAAAAAGACTTGAAAGAAAATGGTCAGGATCATTTGATGAAATTTAAAGACACGCTACCGAAGCATCAACAGCAGTTGTTAATCAACGATCTTCGAAATATCAAGTACGCGAAGATTAATCTCGCGTTCGAGAAGACGATGGCCGAGGCAAACACTATGCAAAAGAAGGACGAAAAATTGCAGCCAGTTCCTCCAGAGCAGGTTGGCAGTGTCATTGGAGCAGAAAACCAAAACAACGTCACCGACTGGAGAAATAAAGGACTGCAAGCAATAAGCGAAGGTAAAGTCGCTGTACTACTTCTGGCTGGTGGTCAAGGTACTCGATTGGGAGTTGATTATCCGAAAGGAATGTACAATGTCGGTTTACCATCTGGGAAAACCCTTTATCAACTGCAAGCTGAGAGGATCTTGAAATTGCAGGAGTTGGCGTACGAGCACACTGGAGAGAAAGCTACGATTCCATGGTAAGTAAACCTCAGTTGTGCCCTCAATCGTTTAGTTTGGTAGACAAGCGCTGACTTCGCTCGCACATTTTTATTTCTTTCTACTGCTAATAAAATTTAATCATCGTAGAATTTAGCTTTGCATTAGTGTATGTTTCGATCCATACAAAATTCTCCCTTTATTTTCCCTTTCCGCTAGCATCGCTAACGACGTTTTGATGCAACTGTGCGTGACCATAACAACAAGTTGAGAATGTAAATTTCCGTACTTTCTTTTGCGAACAATTGCAACGGAAAAGTCTCTTCGATAAAACTTCCCAAAGTAAGGAAAGAACAGTGTGATCGTCCAACCTCTTCCTTTCTTGGAATGAAAAATGAGCTCACTCGCTGATACGTTAAGCGTAATTCCGTATGTAGTGTTCCAACCATGAATTTGCAAGGTTTTATTATGAATAATAAATCAAGGTTTTACTATGAATAATAAATCGATTTAGAATTCTACGGAAATGTAAATTTTACATCAGCTAATCAAACAGCTTTGTCGATTTTAATTGGTACTTTCATTTGTTCTTGTTCCAAAATAATTGCGATACTTGCTCAGACAAGTCGTTTCCGCGAAAAACCAGAAGTGTTTAAACCTTTGGACCCTATTGTGGGAGGTAAGGGGGAGGGGCTGTCCTCATGTAAGACGCAGGATGTATGTTACAGGGTGAAGTTTTCTGACCATTTCGGTTCTTTAATTTTTTCTCTTTTGGGAAAGATTTCTTTATGACCTTTCTATTCTAAACCAAATCCTCAGTCCCGAAGGTAATGTATTGTGAACAGGTTTGCAATGTTTTCTCTTATACCAGTACATTGCACTCTATTCAATGAATTTATGAATAATAAATCAAGGTTTTACTATGCATAATAAACCGATTTAGAATTCTACGGAAATGTAAATTTTACAGCTTTGTTGATTTTAATTGGTACTTTCATTTGTTTTTGTTCCAAAATAATTGCAACACTTGTTCAGACAAGTCGTTTCCACGAAAAAAGTGTTTAGAACCTTTGGACCCTATTGTGGGAGGTAAGGGGGAGGGACTGTCTTCATAAATGAGCTCACTCGCTTCTTGTTCCAAAATAATTGCGACACTTGTTCAGACTTGATAACCTCTTTCTATTCTAAAACAAATCCTCAGTCCTGAAGGTAATGTATTGTGAACAGGTTTGCAATGTTTTCTCTTATACAAGTACATCACACTCTGTTCAATATGAAGTATGGGGTTATACAGAATTGACAACACACCCATCAATTTTCACCTGATTTTATTGGCTACTTTCAGCAATCAGGAGACAGTTGTCATGCAATATCCCCCATCTGCATCGATATTTGTCCTCCAACTACTTCTGTTAATGTGAAACAAAGCCAACAGGAAAAAGCTATGAAAAAACACAGAAGGAAAGCAAACTTGTGTTGAAGGGTTCTGTGATGCTGTCAGGGAAATAACAAAAAAAGTCAACAAAATATGCTATCAATGCATGGAATGAAAAGTAATGGGAAGGTCATAAAATAAATAAACCTCTTGACTGGTTTTGCACCTTGATTAAAAGAAAAAATTAATGTGCCTAGATTAAAAACATGTTGACTTTTTGAAATTAATGTTTAAGTACAACAGTTATGCACATTAAAAAATTTTACCGTTCAAGACTTGAAAACAAAATGCTATACACCAAATTTATTTGTTCCTTAAGAATTAATGGTAATTATAAAACCATATGCTGAATTTGAAAATAATATTTTTTGAAAATTTGGCCAAGAATAACCTTTGATGATTAATTTTATTGAATCAGTCAAGAGGACTCCAGTTGAAACATACATATTTTTTGTTGTTGTCTAAGTGTTGTAACACATCTCCCAAGAGTTTCCTGTTAACCCTTGTCACTATTAAGACAGAATTTCTCCTGACAATATTAATACATTATCAAGCAGACAAGTAATGAGAATGAAGAAAACTATCAACAAGGCAATTACCTGTTGATTTAATACCAAATTCCCTGAATCAAAATAATAAGACTTGTATAGCAGACAGTAAGAAGTACATGTACTACTAATGAGGTCGTCAGAGTGATAGAGTTAACTCAGTTCTGTGTTTTGTTCACTACACTTCAGGTACATCATGACCAGTGAACATACAATGGATGAAACAAAAGAGTACTTCCAGGAACACAATTATTTTGGACTCCAAAAAGATGATGTGATTTTCTTTGAGCAGCACACCCTTCCATGTTTGACCCTTGAAGGTAAAATCATTCTTGACCAGCCTGGTAAAGTTTCCAGAGCCCCTGGAGGAAATGGTGGCTTGTATGAAGCTCTTCATGAGAAGAAACTTATTGACAAGATGCGAGGATGTGGTATAGAGTATGTGCATGTGTATTGTGTTGATAACATCCTGGTCAAGATGGCCGATCCTGTCTTTATTGGATTTTGTATGGCCAAGTCAGCAGAATGTGGTGCTAAGGTTGGTGTCCTGTGGTAAATTTATGTAACTTTCCACTCATTCCAGAACTTTTATACTATAAGTTCTAATTGTGTTAATCAAATAACACCAGAAAGGTGTTATAATTGTGAGAAAATTTGGTTTACAAGGATGAGAAATACATTGTTGTTGAAACACCACGAAAGCAATTTGTACAGCAGCCATTTTCCAGTTTTGGATGGGACTGAATGTATAATTTTCTCGTAACTCATTTTGATTTGTGAATTGATTCCACATTCAGAATTTGCTCAAAGGTTTGGGAAACTTTGTGAAACATTTGGGACATTTTAACTTATAAGTAGTTTTCAAAAGTATAACTTGATTACTTTTGATTACATCTATGTGGATACATATTCCTGTAATACATTTGTGATGTTTTCCACAAAAACGTTTGGCAGGTTGTGGAGAAAAAAAGGCCAGAGGAGAGGGTAGGAGTGGTGGTCAAATGCGATGGAAAATATCAGGTAAGTGAATGGTCTTTCTTGAAATAACTTAGTCCCAATTTAACTCAAAATAATAATGATAAGCTCTTTTATCCTAGGCACACAAAATGATAAGGGGCAATATTTTCTCATATCTCATTCTAATTAGAGCACTCTCCACTAACGTGAAATCTTGCTTCTGTTGATCATATAGTATTATTCAAGTAAAAAGGTCATACCTACTAGGTATGATTAGCACTTTGAAACTTTTTCTTTTATCATTCTGCTGTATTCTCTACGCATCACTCTAATTTTGTCTAATAGGAATATAATGTACAAGTATCTAACCCTTTTTTACTTTCAAACTTTCGCCTTCAACTCCCCTTTCTTCCTGTTACACATTGATTTTAAATTTAGATCAGAGAGTTTCCTGTAAAATTAAGCAACATCTCACTGTTGATACTTCTCTTTATTATCCCAACCCTTTGATCCCTAAGAGTGACCACCATCTAACTTCTCCTTACAATATCATCACTGAATCATACAATTAAGGAAGTAATCACCAATTAAAGAAGCTATTGATTGTTAAACAAATTCTCCTTGTCAGCGCCTTAGCAAATGTGTAGAGAACAGTATAAAGAGTATGCATACTGTTGGTCAGGTGTAAAATGTTAACTGTTCTTCTTGACAATTTATTAATGTGGGATGGAGAAATATAGTCATGTAGCTCATCAGCCTGTCTTAGGAATGAAAGGGTTGAATGATTTGATACTTTTTCACTCAATCACATTTCCTATCTTCCTATAAGGATGAAGGCAATCTCAGACTGGAAATTCTACTTTTATTAAAATTAAACTTTTTAGGTTGCAGAGTACAGTGAGATCTCTGAAGAACTGCAGCACAAAAGAAACCCTGATGGAAAACTTACCTTTCGTGAAGGAAACATTTGCAACCATTTCTTTACCATAGACTTTTTGGAAAAAATTGTCAAGTAAGTGATTTACTTTCAATTGAGACATGTACTGTATGGTGTTTTAAACTTATTGAAAAAAAGGCTTTACAAACTGAGCGTTGATTAGTAATTCTTGGGTCAGGAGTAATTTTTAAGGAAAATGTATCTTACCCCTGGCATTTATCTCTCTCTATATTAATTTGATTTATTTTTGTAAATTTAGAGAGCTTGAGCCATCGCTAAAATACCACATTGCCAAGAAGAAAATTCCTTATGTTGATGACAGTGGGAATCGGTATGTACATGCATGTTGCTGACCATGATAATTATAAATTTGAACTAGTAATTGGTGAGTACACTCTTGGTTACTTTAAGGATCATATAAAGGTCTCTGCATTCTCTTTATCAAAACCTTCAAAAGTTTTGTAAGTGTGTTGGCAAAGGATGTTAAGCCTTCAAAACAGACTCAAGTCTGGACAGCATCCTCATATAGAGAATTTTGTTTTTTTTTTGCCCATATAAAATAATAAAGGCCACAAAACAGTGAAAGCAAGAGGCAGAACTGTGGAATAAAATAAAACAGTGTCCTGTATAAGCCACACTCTGGAATTAATGGACAAGTCACAAAGTTTTACTTTTGATAAATAACTTAGTTTTTCTTTTTTTTTTCCTTGCTGCTTGCAGACTTCTAGTCCAGGGAATTTTTTCATTTCAAATTTGCTCCTGTGTTTTCAGTATTGATCAGTACTAGACTAATAATTATGTAACTCGTTAATGTGTTCTTTAATTTTCATTTCAGGATTGTGCCTGATGCACCTAATGGAATAAAACTGGAGAAGTTTGTTTTTGATGTCTTTGAATTTACTGAGTAAGCTGACTTTGCTAATATCAAGGTTTCTACATGTAGTTACCTTCTGTGAGGACAATTTTCACCCTTCAATTATTAACTATTAATGAAATATTCAAATGATACAAGTTGTTACATCTGATAGTTCTCCACAGTGGAAACTTAAGTTTAATATGTCTGTTCAGAACTAAAAGGGACAGAGGAAAGCTTTCTCTAATAAGAGTCTAGTTGACTTAACACTTCACTTGCTGCACATCTTCACTGACTTTATAGATTCATTGTAAAATGAACTGTGGGTGGGCTTATCAAGAAAAGCAGTGGACAGTCTTGGAAGGGTCTTTATGTGTAACATTGGTTACATGTATTTTTGGTAAATCAGTGACATTATGAGTCTCACAGGACTTTTGTTTGAATTTAACTCAAAATACATGTACATGATTGTACAGTCAAATATGACCCCTTCTCTCTTTGTGTCAGGACTAGGAGTCTAAGCATTAGGAAAGGTTTTTTTTAATTTCTCCTGTTTTTAAACTATTGCATCAGAGTTTTCCAATGAAGTCAGCCAATCAATTTATTTTGGTTTGCTTATGTACAGTTGCATCTGCCAATAAACTAGGAGCACCCAGAAAATGTCCAATAACAATAATTGTCTCATTTTTTGTTTGGTCAATATTTATGCTAAATTCAAATGAAGTACTATTTTTATCTGGGTGAAGAATTTCAAAGTTAGATAATTTGACCATTAAATTTCTCTTGCAGAAAATTTGCAGTCTTAGAGGTTGCCAGGGAAGATGAATTTTCTCCTCTGAAAAATAAGAAAGGTTCAGCAACAGACAGCCCAGAAACAGCTTGCAGAGACTTGCTGAATTTACATCATAACTACATAATCAAAGCAGGGGGAACATTTGTTGACAGCACCAAGTTAGTAGAACTATAGTACTCATTTCTTATCTAAATCAGGACTGTGGCTGGCTATTGATAAAGTCCTTGACCCAAATGACAAGCAGAGTTTTAAGGAACTTGAATTGATAGTTGTATCAATGAATTGTGAAGCATTACAGTCCTGTGAAGGCTTGGTTGCTACTATCAATTTTTCTTTTTGCGTAACCTGGTGTAAAGTCTTAACCTATTTAGTGATGAGGTAAACACTTGCTGCAAAGGAGACCAAGTGTTAAATGCTCCTTGCTACAGAAGTTATGATAAGCTTGAACAGCAGGTGAATCAGTTTTTAAGTATCTTTTCTGTACACTGTACCACCAGGAAGTAAGAGATTTCAATCTAATCAGCAAGATCAGTGGATCATATTTCTAAGTAGAATTGCTGTATGGAAGATACTGTATTAAAAATTGCTCAAAATTCTACTATTTTTTACAAGTGATTGCATGAATGGAAATTTTTAGGGGTATGTTTTCCCTTAATGTTATTTTTGTATGATTTTAGTGTAATAATTCCTTTTCTTTTCATTTCAGGGACAGCCCTTCATTGTGTGAAATATCTCCCCTTCTCTCTTATGCTGGAGAGGTAACTAATACATTCTAATAACAATTTACAGTCATAGGACAGAAGAAATCCTCTACATTTCTGGAAATAATATTCCTTCATGTTGCAGTTCAAATTGTTTTTCTTTTTCTAAGAGGATAGGTTTTTCAAGGACAAAAACCTTCACAATGCCTTCTAAATACATATTGCTAACAAAAGTTACAGAAAGACAGTATCACTTAATATGAAAATTTTGATGCTCACAATAATTGACATTAATTCACCAAAGTAGAGGTGAATAGTGATGGATATTTATCAAGGGGTAAAGTAGCAAGGTTGATATCCACCATTTTCACCAGCACTGGGGTGAATTATTTTCTCTGTATGTACCACACAAAAAATTGAGTTTATTACTGTAAATACCATTTATACTTCAATATGTAGTAAAATTAAACAACCACTGATTGTAAAGGCTAATTGGAAAGTAGTAAATTTTCAAATATGAAAGCCATCCTTGCAGCTATAAACACTACCTTTAGTAGTAGTGAAAAGAAGGCTTGAAAAAAATTTAGGTCCATATGGGATTTGAACCCATGACCTCTGTAATAGTGGTGCAGTGCTCTATCACAGAGGTCATGGCTTCAAATCCCATATGGACCTAAATTTTTTCTAGGCCTTATTTTCACTACTACTTAAGTAGTGTATATATTTACAGTCATTTAGTAAATTTTCCTTTCTAAGCAATATGAGTATGATAAATTTTTTGCATTGTCTGCAGTGTTTGACACTAATGCTTACCCCATTTCTTGGCCTGGTGGACTAATATTTTGCAGAACAATCTAATTTGCAATGAAAAAGTGACTAGTAAAATGATGTAGTGGCCATAAACATGATAAAGATATAACCAACCTTACATCTCATTGCTGTCTTACTTTTTTGTCATTTAACATATGTATATATATTATATACATATATGATATATGTATATGTAGCTACAAACCTCAAAACATATCCAAAGCCATAGAAGATACTATGTCCAAAAATGCCATGTTTCTGCTACAAACCTACAAAACATATCCAAAGCCATAGAAACCATTTATGTCCAAAGATGAACACCAAATCATCATGTTTCTGCTTTATTATCATTGGTGGACAAAAAGGAATACTCCTACAATGGAACCTAGTTTCCACATGGCCAAAAAGGCCTAAATATTTGCAAACCATTTACTAAGTTACTTCTTAATAAGTGATTAGTGAACACCAAATCATCAGATAACAGTTTGTCATAGCTTTTACTTTATCATCATTGGTGGACAAAACTTCATGTCAACTGTATTACATTATAAAATTGACATTGTTTTATTTAACAAGCCTCCTTTTAGTTTTTATGGGCAACTAATCTTTAGTCAGTGGGCAACCAAAATAAACAATTGGCATAAAAAACAAACCGTTTGCCCAAAAGGCAAATTTAGCCAGAAAGTTAGGGTTGAACACTGGTCTTAGTTTCAGACTACATAATATCAGCATAAACCAGTCTTAGTGTACTGGGTGTAACTGTTGATGATAGAAAGACAGTCTCATTTTGTTTTCTTTTTTTTTTTTAGGGATTGGAAGATGTAGTTAAAGGCAAGGAGTTCTCAGCAACAAAGACTATTCATCTGACACCAGAGAATAAAGAAGTAAAAGATGGAGAGCTACCACGAAAGAAAGTCAAGGAGGGTTGAAAAAATTATTAATGCTGGTCATAGGAATATTTTAATTGTCAAAAATTTGTGTGGAATTCTAATTAGATTTGAAAATGGTTATCAGTAAGAATTGACTGGTTAGGAAACCTTACAGATTTAATTGTTGTACACTGTGGGTTTCAACATAAGCGACAGTAACTTGTTTGTTGGTATCTCTAATTTTTCTCAGCTTTCCTAACCAGTGAACTCTAATAATATATAATACTACGGTTTTATTGTAGTTAGGAAAATGATGGTATGTTATAATATAAAATGCTGCACATTCAATTTTGGAGGAAGCAGTACTGTAATTCAAATCATTTTTATTATGATTATTGGTATTATTGTTTTCAGTATCACTCATTGTCAGTTTTGTTGTCATCATCATTTTCGTTATCATTACTGGTATTACCAGTAGTTATTTTCATTATCATTATCATAACCATTGTTATTGTCATTATTATCATCAGGCATTGTCATCGTCATTTTTATTATCACTATTAGTTATGTTATTTTCATCATTATTGTTATATCTAAGATAGAAAATATGAAACACACCTTTTAAAAAGGGTTGGGGGGAAGGGTTGGAGGCGGGTGTTTTGGAATATTATATCACACCAGAAGTTGAGTGAAAATGCACTCACACTTTTGAAGCGCTAAGTCAACCAATCAAATTCAAGAGCATAGCCTTGACTTTAACTAACGTATGGTGTTGTATGAAAAGTTTCTCACTTGATTGTAGGAAACGTTTGGGAATTCTATTCAAAAAAACGGAAATTTTTGATCCTATATTCTTTAAGTTAAAAGAAATATTCACAAATATGGACTGCAAAAATTTGCCTAAACATACTTGACCTTAAGATGGATGAAAATCTAACTTTGGCGCCAGATTTTTACAAGCACTGTATTTCTCATAAAACTTTTTTGCAAAGCGGATAGAACTGATCCAAAATTTGCAGTTCTGAAAATGAATTATAGTGTCTGTCAGATAAGTGTCATTGAAAGAGCAGTTTCATTGGAATGTCGAAAGTAAATTGGGATTGCATTGATTTTGTTCTAATTTGCCCTGTGATTGGTCTAGGAAACTCTTACCATTCTCTCAACCAATCAGACGCAACACTAAGACCAACCAGGACGTGTTATCGCGCCCAAGTTAGTTTCGTTGGTTTTCTTTTTCCTTGAGTTTTCATAGGCTCTTGAGGATCTTTTCCTTCCTTCTGATTGGCTTTTAAGATAACTTTGGTTTTGATTTTACGACACTCAATTGAAAAGAGTTCAATTATGATGGTATCAGGGCCAAAGAGGAACACAACAAGAACATTCTTTCGCATGCTAAACCTTCAGATAGAAGAAATCTAACTTTGGGACTTGTTTCAGTATTCTATGAATATGTTGCTAATCCATAAAATGCACATCGAAATGTTATTTTTTTAAAGTTAGATGGACTTTTGAAATCGACTTTTGATGTCATTAAATGAAATGATTAAAGCTTCAAACCAGGCTACGTGCATTTTTTACTCATGGGTCCCCAGGGGCGGTTTCCATCCGCCTAGTTCCCAGTCTATTGTCTACAAATGTATCACGCCACTTCTACCGACATCACGTAATCCCGATTGATTGATTTAGCCGGTATCTAGCCGGTTTCATCAATAATTTTCTCGAACGGGCATCATCTCCGCTGAAATGGACATCGATAACTTAAGACGTGAACTTAAAGAGAACAATCAAGACCATTTGCTCCTGCATTGGGATTCACTTAACGATGAGGAGAAATCTAATTTTTACAAAGATCTCAAGCACATCGATTTCGCCAAAATTAACCACTGGTTCGAGAAGACCATGCGCGAAGCCGAAGCAAGTGACAAGAAAGATGAGAAATTGGAGCCAGTTCCACCACAGATAGTTGGTAGTGTAATCGGAGCGAAAAATGAAAACAAAGTCACCAGTTGGAGAGAGAAAGGTCTACAGTTGATAAGCGAAGGAAAAGTCGCTGTACTGCTTCTCGCCGGAGGGCAAGGAACGCGGCTGGGAGTCTCTTATCCCAAGGGAATGTACAATGTCGGGTTACCATCACAGAAGACATTGTATCAACTTCAGGCCCAGAGAATCTTAAAAGTGCAAGAACTGGCTTATGAACTCACCGGAAAGAAATCGACAGTTCCTTGGTAAGTCACAACTTTAATTCCTTTGTATGATTGCATAGTTCATTGTCTGTTAATCGTTTTCGCTAATTTTTGAAACTAATTTCCTGTCAGCCCAATGTTAGGTGAATACCACCCCTTCGCCATTAAAACTGGCAATTTATTTGCAACAATCAAATAACGTTCAAAATTTCTAGAAATGCGATTGTGGGTACACAAATATCGAGATCAATATGAATGAAGTTGTTGGGTAATTCACAAAGCGCTCAAGGCGTCATAATTTTGTTGTTGTTATCAGTAAGTTGGTATTGTAAGGCATGTAATAATTTTGTGAGAGTCATGTGAGAACAACCTTCGAAAATAGGGAAACTGTAGTCCATCCTGTCGGCAGTTTTTGAAGTAGGGACTATTAATCATTAAGCACTGTGTTTGAGTATTGTAACCAGAGTACTAGAATGGAAGCCCTCAGTATTACTATGGGGGAAAGGGGTGGGGGATTTGGCAGGGGTGGCGTGCACTGACAAGGGAATGAAATCTTACGAGTTGTTATTATCAGAAATTCCAAACTTGCTTACTCAGCTAAAGTTTTGCCATGAGCAGAAGCTGCTGATTGTGAGTTTAGTATTTCATTGGCAAATTATGATTGAATTTCTATGCAGATACTGATGGAAGTCTTTGGATGTGTTCAACCATTTTGTTGATTATGAAGAATCCTGTTTGTTTATTATTTGCCTTTAAATTTAGTTGTAGTTAAACTGAAAAATTGAAATTGGAGGACTAGTTTGGACCATCAATTACCAGAATAAAAGAGGGTAGCAAAGCAGAGGTCCTGATCCTGTTTCACACAAATTTCAGAAAAAATGAATGCATCACATTTATGAAAAGGAAAACTAAACATCTCTATTCTCTCTTCCTACAATGTTTAGAGTGATCTTTAGGTTTCCACGAACTGAGAAAAAATTTATGCAGCACACGTGCCTTTCTTTAATATTCATGTGTCGCATATTAATTTTAAACTATATCCAAGTCACATTCAAACCCTTTGCCACCCTCTGAGGAGATGTTAAAGATTTTATTTTGAAAGAACTTTGAAATTTATTGACAGCTTATTGTCACACCACTATAGGTACATCATGACAAGTGAACACACCATGGAAGAAACAAAAAAGTTTTTTGAAAAACGCAATTACTTTGGGCTGCAAAGAAATGATGTGCTATTCTTTGAGCAGCACACCATTCCTTGTCTAACAATGGATGGAAAAATTATTCTTGATCAATGTGGTAAAGTTGCCAGAGCCCCTGGAGGAAACGGTGGTTTGTATGCTGCCCTTATTGATGATGGTGTAGATGACCATGTTACCATTGGTACAATGAGAAAGCGAGGAATAGAGTATCTTCATGTATACTGTGTTGACAACATCCTTGTTAAGATGGCAGATCCTGTGTTTGTTGGATTTTGTGTTGACAAGTCAGCAGAATGTGGTGCTAAGGTTGGTGCTCTTATTACCTTGGTAAAGAAATTATTCATGTTCTTGCCAACTTGCTTTGGGCCAAAGGCTTGTAGGACTTGATTGTCACTGAAGAAATCCAAAGATTTCTAAACACTTTCCAAAAGATTGCAGAGATACCTCAAAAAGTTCAAGTTAAAAAATTTAGGATTATTTTTAAGACACAAAGATTCCTTAAAGGGTCCATGGAACTAATAGAAGAGCATGTGGACATAAGCTTTGGAAGGAATGATATTTTTCATGTACATGTATACTGTTCAAATGTTTTTCACATGCAGTACATATGGTATTTTTCACTTTTATGGGTTATACAATTTTACTCCTACAATTTTCCTCTTGAGGGCTCCACCCATGATATACCCTTACAAGAGCCTGAGTACATGTAGATATGCATCTAGTTTCAATTACAGCCTCCCTGTTAAAGCAGACTATTTATACCTTTTAAATTATGCTTACCTATAGTCAGACTGTCAGTGTTCCTGTTGAAAAGCTAACAGATATGTGAAATAACTTGATAAAGTTTTGGTAAACAAAATACATAATTAAAAAATGCATTTAAGTCCTCTTCTTTTCTTAATATGTAATAAAAATAGGCAATGAATTGTCAAATGAATTATTAAATAATGGGTTTTTGTCTGAGTTGATTTCCTTGACAGATTGTTATTTATTTATTGCAGGTTGTCGAGAAAACACTTCCAGATGAGAGAGTTGGAGTTGTTGTGAAATGTGAGGGCAAATATCAGGTTAGTTGTTTTTCATGTCAACTTGACATGGGAATCTAATTTTCATCCCAAATTGTTTTGGAATAAATCAGATATTTTTCAAATATCCAAACTGTTTGTCAAGAATTTTTGTCATCATCAATTTCCCAACTATAATTTTATCTACCAAACCAAACTAAACCAAACTTGGAAGGATATTGCAAGTGTATATCTCAGGGTTGATAAAAGATTCTGAATTTTTCAATAACAGGCCTTTGGTAGAGAGTAATGGCACACAAACCAAACATTGATGCCTATGTTTTCCTCTGCAAATATTTCATGAGAATGGAATTTTTTCAGAGCAAATTCTCTCTGTCTCCAGGTTTCACACAAGGAAAATCGCATTATATTTCATAGACAGCATGATGTTGAACAACCATATGAAGTGTAAATGAAAACACCATAAGGTTTTTCAATGATCTTGTCCTCAAAGAGGACCATGGAAAAGTCTTTGTGAAAAAGGGTATGAAGCCTGAAGTCATAATTCATAGTTTTCTTTTCATGCAAACTGTGATTTTTTTGAGAAGTCATGATTTCCTCTTGACTAGTGGTGTGATCAGATGCTATTTGAGGCCAGCCATGTGCAGTCATACATATATACATGTTCCAATGGCAGAGGCCCTGAAATGAGAGGCAGGCAGATTGAGAGATTACTGTTAAAAAAAAAAAAACGAAAGAAGAAGAAGAAGAAAGAATTTTTAGGTCAAATCATAAATGCTAAAAAATTATATTATTTTACAAATTGAAATGAATTATGTATAATTTGCCTTGGGAAGACACAAATTTCTGAAAGTTGTTTGATTCCTTGTCATGGTTTTAATTTCTCAAAGCCTGATCTATAAATCAAAACAGGCAACAGAGTAATGCCTGTTATTGAGATTTTTTAAGTATTGAATAAGAATTTTTGATCAGGTTGCTGAATACAGTGAGATATCAAAAGAAATTGCAGAGATGAAAGACCCAGACAACAATGATAGGCTCTTATTTCGAGATGGAAACATTTGCAATCATTTCTTCACTGTGGACTTCTTGGAGAAAATTGTAACGTAAGTGGTAGTATGAGTGGAGTTCAACTAAAGGTACTACACTCACAAAAATGTACTATGCCCTCTAATAGATGCATAAATGCATAAATACTTTAACAGATTTGCAATTGAAAATTGAATCTTCATTTGAGTGAGTTTGTAATTAGCAATAACAATTTATTTGCCTGCTTGTGCATTTTTTAATTTAGAAGTGTCTCATGATGTTGTTGTTGTCATTTTTTTTTTGCCACTTCTGTAGAATGAGATGAACGTTATCTGGTCAATGTTTCCATTTGTTCTAAATGTTCAACCGAATTTAAGAAATTTTGTTACTAGGGTTGTTGCATCATCATTTCTTGTAATCATTGAGTCAAATAATGAATCATTGCTTTAGACTGAGTTAATGATGCAGGTCATGAAATTCCGGAAAAGGCAGTAGAAAGAAGGTTATTATCTTATGATATGTAAAGCCCCACGTGGACTTCAAATGAAAAACATAAAAAAAAAATCAGTTTATGAAGGTTGCATGCCATGGGGTGAGTGGGATGGGAAAATTTGTTACTCTTGGTCATAACACAGTGCTGCAACATAGAGCCAAATATTTTACAGTCCAACCTTCCTATGGTTGATAACTTTGCACATGATGTGTAGTCCCTTTTTCGGTTTTTCACATTTTTACCTCAGGGAGCATGAACCATCACTCAAGTTTCACATTGCTAAGAAGAAGATCCCATTTGTTGATGGAAGTGGAAAAAGGTTAGAAAGATTTTTCACTTAAAGATTTTTCACTTACCTGGTCAGTTTTGTTACCAACAATGTTACCATTTTTCCAAATACAGAACAAATTTCGTGGTGTTCTGTTGAGTTCATTAATAGAATGTTGCAACTAAATAAAAGTGAATGTTGATATCTGTCCTTTGAAAGAAGAGAATATTTTGAAGTAAATTATCAGAAGTATCAAGATTAATTTTTGAATTTCAGCTTGAGATATGAGCACATACATGAGTAGCTTGAAGACAAAATGGGTTATTTTAAGATGAGCTTCATTTTATTAAATTCTGTATTGTCATTTTCAGGAATAAACCAGTGGAACCAAATGGAATTAAACTGGAGAAGTTTGTCTTTGATGTCTTTGAGTTCACAGAGTAAGATTTCCTTCAAATTACAATATTATTATCATCGTAAATTGGTAAAGGAAAAAAAAATTATAAATTATGTTTTAATTTTTCTTGAACTGCTGTGTGTAGATTCCTTATGGAACAATCATCATTGATGGTAATTCATTTCAGATGCACAGTCAAATTACAAGAATTGCAACATTTTTGATAGAGCTCTTGTCCAGTAGATTAATACTAATACCTTGAAGATCTTGAAGTGAATGGGGTAATAATTTGTTATTAGATAGCTATTAAATATCACTGTTGAACCAATAGTAGTTATTAACTGATGTGCAATTGTCTTATTCATGGCATTTTCATCTTTTGATTTATTACAATTATAGGAAACTTGCTCTTCTGGAAGTTGCTAGAGAAGATGAATTTTCACCTCTAAAAAATGCCAAGGGCTCACCAAAGGAGAGTCCAGAAACAGCACTCAGGGACTTGTCAAATTTGCATCGTAGATATCTAACCAAAGCTGGTGCCAAGTTTAAAGACACCAATGGGTAAGTCCCTGAGAGCTCTTTTGTAAACAGTTGTAAAATGTTCAGTTGTACCATGCTCTTAGTTATACAGTGGCTTAATGGTAAGCTTGCTTGACTAGAAGTTGAGAATTTCAGATTGGAGCCCTGATTGGCTCATTGTGTTGTATTTTTGGACATGATACACAACTCTCATAATGCCACACTCCACACAGGAGTATTGAAGGATGGCAGAAAATTGGGTGGGTGGGGGGGACTCGCATTGCATGCTTTTTTATTTTTCCCCTAAAGACCGAGTGCCCTGATCCAGATTGATATCAGATATGCTTACCAAAAAGGGAATTTTTGTGAGAACACAATAGAGCAATAATTGTCATTGTTTTTTTCATCCAGATTCAATAAGTTTACCTTTTGTTTTCTGGTTCTAGGACCACATCTATAGTCTGTGAAATTTCTCCTCTTCTTTCCTATGCTGGAGAGGTGAGTTTATTCAGCTATTTGTGTTGACCCTTTTACCCCTAAGAGTGACTAGCATCTAATTTCTCCTTACAATATCACCTCTGAATCACATATTAAGGTCAGGAGAACCAAGAAAATGATCACCAGCTTAAAGACACTCTTGATTATGAAACAAATTCTCCTTATCAGTGCCTTGGGAAATATATGGAGAGCAGTATGGAGAATATACCTACTGATGTTAGGGTGTTAAGGGTTAATGTTACTGGGTCACCTGTTACTGAATGCACAAGAGACTGAAGGTGGAAATTCCACCTATGTATCAGTGTGCTACTAGAAGTGCCGAGCCCTTAATCTTTTCTCCTTTTCTCCTTTTTTTGAAAGGAGTCAAAGCTATCTAAATGGAATTTCAAAATTTTGAAGATTCTCCGAAAAGATTTTAAAAATGTGTATGTTTCCAACTCCCACACATCTGGCCGTCAAAAAAAAGAACGAAGTAAACTCGACCATATTTCAAATTCTGCGTCACAAGCGGATATGAATGCCTTGTATCAGTTATTGTTTGGAAACTACAGTCGAACCTGTATTAAGCAGCACTGTATTAAGCAGTCGGTTGTCAAAGTCTTGAATTTGTGTCCCCTTTATCAGGTATTTACACCTCTATTGAGCGGTCGTGGTCGCCATTGAATGAGTCCCAAAGGCCTGTTTGTATTGTCCTCCACTTGTGTTTAACGGTCATTTAAGAGCAACCACTCAAATAAAACCACGAATAATCTTTGAAGTAAAATTAAATCCATGTTTCTCTCCCGAAATCAATGTTGGAAGTATTTTTTAGCAACTTTTTGTACATTAGTGGTCATTTCTACATTACCCCTCCTCTGTGGAACCTGCATTAAACGGTCAACCTGTATTTAGCGGTCTCCTAGGGTGACCGCTTAATACAGGTTCGATTGTATGGAGATAATCTAGTGTCCTTGGTTTTTTTTCGTGGAAAGTGTAGGCCTGTGTTCCGTTACCAAAGTAAGTGTTTTTCACACTTCTTATCTTTTTTTATGTTTTCTTTGTATCTAGGGGTTAGAGAATAAAGTTAAAGGCAAAGAATTTTCTGCCGCAGATGAAATTTACCTCACAGCAGATGAAGAAGAAAAAATAGAAGAACCGGCGCCCAAGAAAAGTAGAGAAGGCTGAGATTGTTTTCAAAATTGTGGCTAAATCATCCGACAGCCTACGACGTTTGCTCCTATTTCCTTCGTTAATTGAGTCAAATTGATCAGCGGCCACTAGGCGGCCACTTTAAAATCAAGCCATTTCATGATTGTGTGAGTTCTCAGGCGTGGTTTCATAAGATTTCCCAATCATTTCAAAACAAAAAAATCAAGGCGATCTGAAGTATTTGAAAACACAACAGTACTAGCACTACGACCCGAACGATCATGATGATCGGATAGAGGTAAAGAGTTCTATCGAGACGAGTATTTTCCCGATGGTCCCACGGGTCAGTAGTAGTCCATACTGTGTTTCCACATAATCTTCCCAATCGTCTGGTAGATAACCATTTAAGATTTAAGGTAGTCATTTTTATAGGCCGAAATCATAACTTCAGACACTTACAGAACCACGGTGGGCTAGTGTTTAAAGGTGACCGAAGCAAAATATCAAGAAATGCTTCTTGAAGTAACTTCTTGGGTGTTATGGTTGAAAAGTCTTTGAAGCACTTAGCAATTTGTTTTCCTTGCGCGTGAGTGATAATTTGTGATGATAATTTATTGAGCACTTGAGGAATTGCCGACGCATAAAATGTGTGAAAGCCGTTAAGGTATTGGTTAACTGTATTTTTGATTGAAGTAAGAGCAATGATGTTGCTATTGCAAGTAGATGAGATATCTGAAAAAAGTTACGAAATTCTGATACATATTTAAATTATGAACAATATTGATCAATCAGTATGTTCTGGGAACTTAGCAACTGAAAGTTTAATCGTGAAGTATTTGCATGGATGATTATTGTGGAGTGAAAACTGAAGCATTACAGAACAATGAAGGTTCTACCAATTTCCGTCTGCTTTTAGTATTTTTGTGCAAAGTGGTATAATTGTAATGTGATTAAAAGATTTTCGCCATTTTCTTATTGACTGAAACGATGTGAGGAATGGTATTTTAACGAAAATGAATAGAAGCTAAATTTATTTTATCTGCCATAGATTTCATGCGCAGACTCGCTATTGGTCAGAATTGCATTTTCCAAAGCGATGTGAGACTGGTTTGAATGGCTCCGCCCGAACGAGAAGATTTTAGTATACCACAGTATATGATTTGTCTCTTTTTGGCAATCATGGTTCTTAACGTTATGGTTACAAAGGAAAAAATTTTCACATGCATCACATGATATGCGACTGGAAGTTCGTAGGTTGCAGATTGTAGCAATGCGCCTGTCAGTTTAGTCAAAAACAGACTTGACATGAAAGCCCTGGCCTATGTATCTAACTCTAGGTCATTTAAAATTCTCAACATGTCTTTAGCCCAGTATCGCTTTTCAGATCGAAAGGGAAGCGAAAACAAAATTGCCTTCGGTTAGCAGAAGTGTCAAGTCATTGCTAGTTCGGGTTACCAAAGAGATTGGGTGGCCCTTCGTACCCTTCCCTTAAAACCTCCACGCACGCACGCACGCACGTACACACGCACGCACACACACACGCACACGCACACACACAAACACAGACACACACACACACACACACCCCATCCCTCCACTTATTTGCTAAGCTGTGATGTCATAAAACACTTCCCCCACCCCTGAAGGAATATATTTCCTCATTCTAGTGTCCTTTCCTGTGACTGGCGTTCTAATGAGGAGTGGGTAGATGGGGAAAGGGGGGGGGAGGGGAGGGGGGATGAAACAATCTCCCGTTCACCCGTCTTCCACAGCGCTTATAAGCTACTCCCTTACTAGCATTTTTTGAAATGATTGAATTTTATTTGGCCATATTTACATTACAATTCAAATATGCACAAATTCAAGCTTCCGCTTTCTTCAGTCTCTAGGCACCTCAAGAAATTCCGAAGATCGGTAGTCTCTGGACGTACATTCGATCTATTAAACTTCGATTAAAATAATTATTATTTGGATGTATCCGTGAGGTCTGGGGACGAGACGTGAGTCTTTTGGAGGTCTGGGGTTGAGTTAGGACAGCGAGGACTAAAATTACCGCCATCCGGATTGAAAGAGAGCAGAATGTAAACAACAAGCTAACATGGAGCTATGGTTTGAATGGGAAGAAAATAATGAAGAACATTTGTCCTTTGACGACAGCGATCGCTTTGAAGAAGATTCACTTTGTTCCTGGGTTTCAGAGCCAGAAAGTCTCTGTGGAAATTGGCGAGGCTGGAAGAGAAATTCTCAAAATGGCGTCCAGTTTGGTTCAGACTTGGGTGAAGCGACAGTCGAAACTCTTATTGAAATTTGCGCTAGGACAGTAGCAGAACATTTTCCTTTTGAAACTGTTGAGTGCAAATTTCCTCAGATTCCTGAGCAGCTCCAGCAAAGAATCGCTTTTTGGTCGTTTCCGCTCTTTGAAGAAGACATTCGACTCTATTCGTGTTTAGCAAATGGCTCTCCGGATAAATTTCTGGAAGGGGAACAGCTTCTCAAAGTGCAGGCCGTTAAAGATGTACTGCAGATTGGTAAGTGAATTAAGACTTCGCCGGTAGCCTGTTTCACCTGTTTAAGCCGAACTGTCGCAAGAAGGCTTTCCATATGTGCTACGCTGTAAACCATGTACTGAAATAGTTTGGTACCGAAAATGAATCAATATAATTGATGTTGGCCATTTGTAAACAGTCAGCTCTGTAGGGTGTATTTTCGATTTCAAGTTTGTTCAGTGATTTTATTTGTTTTTTTTTTGTTAGTAATCAAACCCACAGCGAACTTCATTTGTTGTATCGTGTCGGTGTGAAACGCTTCCAATAAAATCCCTTTGAACAACAACTCTTTATAATTCTGAGATCTGAATGCTTATTCCTCCTCACTGATGATAGTGCAATTTTAAATGACCAGTCCTTGACCTTGAGCTAAATATTGTCTTGTCCCACCCACTCAATTAGTGCATATGTTTCAGCATCTTCTTTCTCCATGAGGATGTGTGGGTAATGTGAGTAGAAATTTATTTTTGGTCACTCTTGCCAGAGCAAGGGTTAACTGACTATCAACCTATGTCAACAGTTTGTTAAGTGATTGTGAACCCTTTGTTAATTAGCTGACATGTACATATCAATTGAGTGTTGGCCAAGTTGTGAAATGATAAATCAAGTCCTGGACAAGCTGGCAATCGATACTTGTAGCAGATGAAAAACTTTTTACATGTTCATGCAGAGGAAAACTATGTTGAAAAATAAAATGAATGTGTTGATGATCACTCAAACAAAGGACATAAAAATGCAATGTCATTTTACCATGCAAGTAACATTCCTCTGTCACTACCTTTCCATACTTCACTACACGTATTTTGCCATACCTCACTTTTTCACCTTATTCATTGATGTCTTGACAGACAATGTGGAGTTACAGTTATCCACATATGCAGCTCAGACTATTTTTCTTCATAGGCCTCTTTTAAAATAGGTGGCATGATTATTTTCCCTTTACAAATATGCAAATAAGTTTCTTAACCTTGCTTTTGAGTGGAAATGGTATTGTGACCGAGAGCTTGGTAGACTAATATGCACACATGTTAAAAAAAACCAATAACAGTAATGCCTTTCATATATGACAGAATTTAGGAATAAGTTCCTTTTCCTCTTACTTTAGCATGATCTTCTCTTTGCAGGTTTTCATTTAAGTGGCACAGTTCACCAACCTCACAGTGTTTGCCAAAGCAAAGGAATATTTAATGTAGCCGTCACATTTGACAGAGGCCACATAACCTCTTGTAATTGTACTTGTGATCAAACTGCAACCTGGTGTTCTCATGTAATTGCATTGTGTCTTTTTCGAATACACTTCCCAAAGATGGTTTGCCTAAGAGCTCCAGTATCAGAATATTTATCTCGTTTGAGACGGGATCAGCTCCAGAAGTTTGCTCAGTATCTCATCACAGAACTGCCACAACAGGTAATAATACTATTGAATTTTCACTAATGATTTAAATGTTTTGATACTGTTACAGAGACCAGATCTTTGCAAGTGCAGACATGAGAAATAAAATGTTTAACTGTCAAACTGTCATCAATGTTGATTATGGCTTTTGAATTTGGCAGCCCATTTGGTTCACAACTTGATTTTGTTTGTTTTGGTTTTACACAAGCTTCTCCCAACCGCTCAAAGGCTTCTTGATGAGCTACTGTCTTCACAAGAATCCACCATCAACTCTGTACCAGGTGCTCCAGGTAAGAGTCAGTGGCTGTTTTTATTTATTGTTTGAACTAGTATTGTTACAGCTACTCCTTTTGTGGGATACAAGTTCACTGCAAGACTAACCGCTCCCCTCTCCCTTCAGTATTTCATCAGGTAATCCATAACCCATTTGCACTCCTGGGTGGAAAGTGGCATTGCAAGTGGGAGTGAAGTGTGTTTTCTTAGAACTCAGTACATGACCTTTCTATTTGGATTGCACTATGACAACTATTAAACCACTGTATCCCCATTTTTGGGAAATGTTATTTCTATAGACACTACAGTCAGCTGTCAAACTGATCGACAAAGCAGACTGTGTAATATTTGTTTACAAGATTTATTCACTGTGTTCGCCAAGATAACCAATTAAAAGTTTTTTTAATGCAGTGCATGGCAAATTAGCTATACAACAGTGCTAAAATGTCATTCATTGTCAAATAGACATCAAAACTATGACATTCTTGACAATTAAACAGCTCTAGAGAATGCTTTGCCTAGAAAGGATCCTCATTTATGCAGTGTATCCAGTCACAATTTGTTATTAGACAGACAAGCACACTTTTAAGAATCAATGACATCATTCAGTGTTTGAAATCATCTTTATGGTATTTGTTAGATCCCACAGCAGGGCCATCAGCTACAGATCATTCAAAATGGTGTTTGGATGAAAGTTCTCTCCATGAGAACATTAAAAAGATGCTTGTGAGATTTTGTGGCCCAAGTCCTTTGGTATTTAGTGATGTGAATGCACTCTTTTTAGCAAATACTGCTCCACCCACAGCTGCTGAATGGTGAGATACACATTGGCTTAGTTTTTAAATTTACTTTTAATTAGGTATGGGTTAATTTACTGAATAGCATGAAAATTTTGTGGTTGATTTATCTTGTGGATTGGCAATTTTTTCTTAGAACATATTGTTGCAGCTCTTGCTCCCGTTCTTAGTTTCAATTTCTGTGGGGAACTAACATTTGCAATTTTAATATTAAAAAGCAGAGCTGAAACAAGACTAATATGAAAAGAAAAGTAGTTTTTTTTCCAGTTTGTTGTTGATCTGCCCAGAGTGGAAATACTCAGTATACAATGACTTAAATATTTCCTGTAAGTTCACATATGAAGAATATTTAGTGACACATGGTTTGCACCCAGATTTTTTCTACAGAACTGAATGCAGTTGAGTTGCTGTGTGTACATGTGTATGCTTCAGCTTGAGTGTTTTTTCTTTTTTTTTTTTTTTGGGGGGGGGGGAGAGTATTTTTTTTTGCTCAAGGATAATCAACCAGATCCACTAATGAGGTGCCTAACCTTTACATCAAAATAAAACAAAACCCTGCATCAGTTATTTTGTACCTCACTGCACATTTCTTTCTTTTTTTTTTCCATGCATTTCATGTGCAGGTCAAATATACTCAGACCTTTAAAAGGACGAGAGCCTGAGGGGATGTGGAACCTTCTGTCCATTGTTCGTGAACTCTTCAGCAGGGGTGACATGAATGCAGTGAATCTTCTGGTTATTCTCACAGAAGAATGTCTAGCCAATGATCAGGTGCTAATTTGGTGGTATGACAGTCGGAGTCAAGCTTCAGGGAATTCCCCTTCTCATAGTTATGGAAATAATTACAGGGGGAACACCAATACTGCAAGCACAGAAGCAACTAAACATGCTTGTGCTGGATTTTGTGATGAACTTGTGGCATTGTGGAGACTGGCAGCTTTGAATCCCAAGTTGTCAGATGATGAGAGGGAAGAGATGAAGATGCAATTGCAAGAGTGGCATCAAAAGACTGTAGATAAAGGACAAACAGGTAATGGTCAGTTACTCTAAACATTTGACAATTAGTGGAAAGAGTTAAGCAAAATGTGAAGATTAATTAGTTTGAGAAAGCTGCAGGTTAAGGTAAACAATTGCTCAAGGAGACGAAGGCAAATATTGATATTTAGTGATAGCCAAGTTCCATAATTCTCTTATCATTCCATTTTGGAGGAAATCTGGTGGTCAACAAGTTCTTTGTCTTCCTTTATTTTCTTACCTCTTACCTTAGAAAATACTTATGGGGATCTTAAAAATGTATCAAAAATAACAACGTCAAACCCCAACATCAGGAGCTACAATCCATACTCTCTGTGAGAAGTGTATGGATTGTTTAATATCCCCTTCTATCCATTACAGAGAGGATTCAGGAGACCGAACCTACGGTTTATCGTCCTTGTCCGAGAAGACTAGAATGCCTCAGTATTAGCTTATTCTCCTCAGTAGTCTTACGACCCTGAGTGTTTGATCCAGTCTGGGGCTTGACCTCTCCTACTCCTGCACGGCAGTCTAGCGCCCTACAACATGGCCTAAACAAGTGCACTTATTTTTATTGAAAGTAATGAATTAATTTTACCAACAGACATGAGGAAGATACGAGGTTGATTGAATTGAATATTAGAGAATAACCCTGAATATCACGATTTCTTCAGGGCGAGGTGCCAGTGTTTCGATTCCACCTGCAGCAATTTCATGCTTTCCTGGTTTTCTTGCTGCAATAGAAGCTTGTTCTCTCAACTGGAAAAATGTGGATGTAGGTTTAGTTCCCAAAGAGAGAAATCATGAACCCCAGCTTTCTTCAGCGCTGAAGAGAGATACAGGGACAGCACAATCCTGTGGGAGCACAGAGACTGGACTTCATGAAAATGTCTTATCACCTATTGAAAGGTATGTGTAGCATTATAAGAATCAAATCCTCTTTGGTGTAGTTTCAGAGCTGCCTCAAACTATCGAAATATTGGCTCCCAAGCTACACAACCATATGTGTTTTTTTTCTTTAAGTTTCTACAGTTTTAACTTTATTTTTCACGTAAAAACCAGAATTTCTCTGGCACTAGACATGAGTTCATTTTTCAAGGAGACACAGAATTTTTTGGGATCTATCAATAAATTGCAAGAAAGGGAGGGATTTGAGATTGAAGTGAGATGCATTGAGAGGAATACAATATTTCAGTTGTGGAAATGGTGGTGAGCAGGACTTGGGGATCGAGAGGCCCTGATCCTGGCTGAGACCGCAAAATGGTGTTGTTTTCTTGTGCAAAATACTTAATTTTCACAGGGCCTGTCTTCACCCAAGTGAATTAGTAAGTCCTGAGAACTAGAAACTGGCCGGAAAACTTGAGAAATTAGGGGAGTAACCTCTGTTGCTCTTGCATCTTCTCGGGCGGGTGGGCGGGCGGACGGGAGTTACAACACTCCTTGTAGCTTCTTGCTCACAAAGAAGCTTACAAGCTCCGCACCGGCGGTTTGGGCTAGCGGTATGGGCCAGTAGGCGCGAGAACAGACTTGAATATCTGTACACTGACAGTTGTGATTAATTTTAGCCCCATTGTTAGCGTCAGCCCGGGTACAACTGAAGAAAGCATCGGCAGCTCATCAGCAGATGAGCACAACCCAATTTTCGATGCCGGTGAAGATTTACAAGTCTTATGTGCACGAATGGAGGCTCTTCATGTCCATGGCTACAGTTCCCTGGCCGGAAAACTAGCCGTGAAACTTGCAGAGAATATTCTGAGCGATGATAGGAACGTCTCGTCCCATTTTAGTGCCAGGAGCAAGAGACTGGGTGTTCGCATGACATCGTTTACAAATACTATTCTGCTGAAAGCTGGTTTTCTGTGCAATGTGCTGGCAGAAGACCTGCACTGTCATCATTTAGCTTTCAAAGTCTGTATGTTAGGATTGGAAATGCCAAGGCAGCCAGCTAAGAGTAAAGCATTAGAGGTAATGACAAAGTTATTCTTCATCGCAGGTTAGAACACGCGAGTGTCGTTTTCTAACAAATTGTGTGAGTCGAATCTCACCATTATCTCTCTCATAGTGGTACTTGTTTACCCTTTTTGAACGGCAACAGTCGTATTGCCAGTCACCACTCGATATCTTACTCCCTTCGTAGAGAGGATGGTAATTTAGCTTCTCAAGGTCGAAACTTTTGTAAGGCTGAAAGTTATTGCAATCATCACGAATGATCATGGGATTCGTCAACACCTCCTCTACCAAAGTAATCACAATGACAAATCAGAGGAAAATAAAATACCCCAAAGAGCCGATGACAACTCAAAGTTTAAAAAAAATGTCAAGTGCCTTAAGCGCAGGAAAACGCGGCTGACCAGGTCGTTAGTGGGTGTAATTTTGCATTTGATTGGTTCAGAGAGTGGCACTTGTTGTGTGCACCAACCATGGAGCGAAGTAAAGCAAAACCAAAGTAATCCCTGATTTCTTTCGACACTCAATTAAAAACAGCTTTATATGAATTAATTACAGGTCAAACTGTTACATCAAGAATCAGAGTTGGTCAGCTTGCTAAAGAAACTTCCTCTTGGACCAGCTGAACTCGCTATTGTTAAGGAAAAGGCCGGGCTTCTTCATCAGGGTGAACTGAGAAGAGGAGAGGCTGTTCTGCCCATCATGTTGGCCTCATTCATCTTTGATATCTTGAGGTCAAGCGATACTGAATCAAAAGCTAAGCGGCAAGCTGCAAGGAAACTATGCGAAACAACTAAAGAAGACGAAGAGCTGGGATTTAAAGCTGCTCTGTATGCTATAGGTACGGTGAACAAGGGTAAATTGAAGGTCATTGAATTAACTCCTGAGGTTAGAAAACTTCTATCTATTGCTGGGAAAAATTACCTCGCTATTAAACAAATTAGCTTCATTTTGTTGCCAATATCTTTTGCATGGAGCTCTATGCAATCATGCTATTCACATAGCAAAGAAGGTTGCGCGATAAAATCATCTATTCACTGCATACCTGTTCTGACTAATGCAAAAATTGTCTCATTGCACATTTTTCCACTTGATCTTTTCAAAAGGGTTAACAAACAAGCACCAATTGTAAATGGTCTAGAAAGGTTAATTTACTGTGATTTCTATCTTAAGTTATGTTGGTTAATTTGAATATCCCTCAACGTTATCATACACTCAAATCAAATATCCTCAAAATGAAGAACAAAATAAATTTGACTTTGCTGTGACTCATTGACTCACCGCCCTATCTTTCTGAATGGAATCGGAGTTTGGGGATTTTGTGAAAAGAAGAAAAGAAAAAGCTTGGAGGAAAGACAATGACCGATAATAATTTCAGCCCATATTCCATCCAAACTTTAACAAACTTACCTTCGACAACCCCCCTCCCCTCCCCCTTTTCGGCAGAGGGGATCGTTTGCCCTCTGCGAGTACCCCGACCCAGTCTTTCTTTTAATTATCAATTTCTTACTTCTCGAATACTCTTATTAGGAATGAAAGGAAATGCGTTTGAGCACCACTACCCCATGTTATGTGAAGGCACAAGGCAACAAAGAGGCGACCTGGCACTAGCGTTACTTGTTTACTCAAGGGACGATCCGACGAAGATTCGCCAAATAATGGACGTCATTTTAGACCAGAATCGGTATGACCTACCGAGTGCTGCTGGTACGCCTCAAGATAAGAAGAGAGTGGAGCGATCTGATTCTCAGGATAATAAGGACGAGGGAAAGGAAAGCGAAGCATCTGGCACCAATGTTGTCAAGGGCAAAGCTACTATAGTGCTTCCTAACCGTAAAGCTAGGTAGGAAATTAAATTGCGTTTTGGATTGGTATCCTCGAGACCTTTGCCACATGTTATACTTATTAATATAAATTATTATTGGAGAGATTTTTCCACAAAATGGTGCAGTCCAGTTCTGGTTTCTTCTTTATTGATGCATCTTACTACAAAAGACAACTTTGCAGCTTAAGTCCTTTAAAATACTCCATTTTTCGACTCAGTTCTCTACTCCTCTTTACTTAACTTTACAGCAGGATTTGGTGTGAATCATGATTTACTAAACACAGGTGGTTTTTTCGTTGTTGTTTTATATTCCGATTTCCGTTCATTTGATCTTAACTCCCAATTACTTAACTTTTTCAATCCGCTCGACGTTCGATGGGATTCAACTGTATTATTTGCATCGAATTCACTGCATATTGTGTAGCTTCTTTTTCTCCCTTTTTCTTTCCTAACAATAGTCACCAGTCCTCCAGCACCAGTGACAGTGGTACAGACAGCAGCTGTAAAGATAGTTCAGGAATAGACAGATACAAACTCCGAGGAGGAAATGAAAGATCTTATGAGCAAAGACTCTTAGCAAGTAATGCTTCGTTGTCATTGGATGAAGAAAGCGGAAATTCAAGTGGAGTTGATACAGATTCTGTTCCAGTCCCTCACCTTGGGCTGGCAGCGTACAAGGCTGATCTTCAGGGAAGTAAGCAGAATGACAAAGGAATCCTCCATTCACATGAAACTTTAAGCAAGGCTTCACCTAATTGTGAACCAACGCAGTGTGATCCGTTTATCAACAGCAGTCAACACTATGACGCTGCCAGTAACCCGTCTTCCGTTCTTCGACCAGATGCTGTTCCTCAGAGTAGAGAAGACCTCATAGATGTGGACCACCTACATAATCAAGTGCCGCTTGTGGAGGACTCGGATACTATTCCACCAAACCAAAACACTCAAAATAGCGGTGATCCTAACCTCTTTGCTCCGAGTGTCGATGTTCCACGTCCTTGCGAAGGAAATGCACCATCACAGCGCTTAGAAAGTGTTCATTTCTATTGTAATTCAAATGACACAGAAGCTTTTAATTCCTGTTCTAGCGACAACCCAGAGCTTAGCCAGAGGGTAATCCTGGCCAATCATGGCCTCTCGTCTGAAGGTGATGTGTCGGACATTGAAGCGGATTTTGATGAATGTCATAGCCGTGTTCAGCAAGAATTGTTTCACGAAATTGAATCAAGTCACAATTTGGTAAATGAGGGTGAAACGGGAGAAGTTGGAGCTTCGCCTTCAAGTGGTGCCGTCGATAACGAACTCTCAGAGACATCTAATGTATTCTTTCAAGTTGGAAATAAGGCATCTAGTTGTTCAGTTGCTGAAGGCGAATCTTGCAGTGGAGGAGATGCCGTTGTGATAGCTCCATCAGAAGTATTAGAAGAACAATCTAGTGAATCCGGCTCCAGAGGAAGCGTTAGCGCCGGTGCAGAGGATACTAATAGAAGCCGTCGTCGTCGTGGACGAAGGAGGAGGAGGGGAGGCAAATCAGCTCTGTATCAAGCAACTGAGGCTGAAGCTCATTTCATGTTTGAACTGGCTAAGGCTGTCCTTTCTAAGGCCGGAGGAGGCAATGGCACCTCTGTGTTCACACAAGCAACAAGCAGCGATACTCAAGCTAGTGCCCATAGAGTACTGCAGCTGTGTGCTTTTGAAATTGGACTTTTTGCACTTGGACTGCACAATCGAACTTCGGCAAATTGGTTGTCGCGAACGTACTCATCACATGTCTCTTGGATCTCTGGTCAAGCCATGGAAATTGGCCATCAAGCGATAACGCTTCTCCTGAAACGTTGGGAGGGTAACTTGACCCCCTCTGAGGTTGTGTCTATTGCTGATCGAGCATCCAGGTATAATGATCGCGCTATGGTACGTGCTGCGGCTGAACTTGGACTGTCGTGTCTTCACATGGCAACTACTCTCAATCCCGGGGAGATTCAGCGGGCCTTGTCTCAGTGTCGTGAGGAGGATGCCCAATTATTGGAACAAGCGTGTCAAGCTGTTGAAAGTGCAGCTCGGGGCGGCGGAGTGTATCCTGAAGTTCTGTTTGAAGTCGCTAAGCACTGGTACCACCTTCACGAGAAGAACCAAACCAACAATAGCTCAGCTTCCGGACCAGGAAATAGCGAATCAAGAAGTCGAAGTTCTTTGAATAGATCTTCTCAGTCTGTAGCCTCGTCTGGCCATTCTCCTCCAGTGAGCCCGTTTGTACCCCAGGTACCACAATTTACAATGCCTCCTTGTTATCCGTCCATACCTCCTCCTCTGTACACAACGCCCGAACAATACGTACAGCAGCAGATGCACCAGCAAGTCCATCAGATGATGGGGCATTATCCCCCCTATTTACCGGGGGCATCCTCAGGATACCGTTCATATTCTCAATCGCGATCCTTGACTGGGCCTCAATACTCATTATCAGGAGGTTACTCAGGGCCTACTCCTCCACCATATCAAGCCACCAATTTTAACTCAAGTTTAAGTCAGCATTTAAATCGCGTATCAGCCGGACAGCAAGGGACACACGTTTCGTATCATCTAAACAGTGCATACCGGGTGGGCATGTTAGCGCTGGAGTTCTTATCCAGACGCACCTCAGATGACCGACCTAACGTAAAATTTTCGCGTAATCCGAATTGCAGCGATGACATCAGGTGGCTGTGTTCACTGTCCGCTAGGCTCGGCAATTCGCATCTTCAGCGATTCTGTGTTGCTGCTTTGAACGCAGTGGCTAGCCCGTTTGTGCTACACGACCTTGCCTTGGAAGCAGCGAGACACATGGCGCGCTCTAACCCAGCGCAACTGACGGCAAATCTACGCTCTCCGACCATTAGTCCTTTAGTACAGAAGAGCTTGACTATGTATGCCCAGTGTGTCCATTACAACTTGTTAAAAATTTCCCAGAGCGAGTACGATGAGTTCGTTGAGCTGCTTAGACACGCTCGTGGAGCGTTCTGCATGGCACCGGGTGGAATGACGCAGTTTAACGAGCTCTTGCAAAGTATCCGGCGGGGACAACCCAAAAAGAAAGAACTTTGGCAAATGATTATGAGTGGACTAGCCAAAGCTTAACTTGTGAGCATAAAACGCACCTAATGTTTGGATCAACTGTTCGGCACTGAAAGTTGTTATCTTTTTTCATCTCAATTATAGTATTATTATGAACACATTGAACTTGGTTGTAATCAAAGGAACACCAGCAAGGACTAGATGAAGAATGTTGTAGATGCAATTTTAAGCATTTAGGACGCTATATTTGGCATTGTTAGTTTTTTCTTGAAGTTGTTTAAAGCAATGTTCGGGCGTCTATACTGATTATATTTATTTAACCACGAGAGTCGTAAGAATGCTTCTTATCTTGTAATTTAAATCATGTGTAAAGATATCGTAACGGGGGGGCCGTTGTCATCTTTGTCGTTGAGATAAAAAAAAATTAAGTATATTTATTGGTACACTTTATTTATTTTTGTCAAAAATGTCATCACTTATTGTGTTGAATACAGTTCCTTAAACCGAATTGAAAAGCACTTTTCAAGCGGACGACTTCGCACTGTTGCCAGCATTGATAGATAGATTACTTAAAGTTCATGAATAAAGTCAGAATACATCGCTACTACGCTTTTGAAACCATTCTATAACTTAAGTTTGATGGCTCTCGTGTCTCCTAGAGATTCAGAAATATTTCATTCAAACGTGACAAAAACATAGGCAACTTTTTAGTCAGGAGTTCATTTCAAACAAATGACCAATCTGGAACTTTCAAATGCGCTCGCTCACGATGCAAAACTTGTCCTTTCATTCATAATGTAGAGAAAATATCGGGACCCAAAAGATCCATTAAGATCATTGATCACTTTACGTGTACCTCCACCAATGTTATTTACTGCATAACTTGCACTTATTGCAATAAGTTATACATCGGCGAAACAGGAAGACGACTGGGTGACCGATTCCGAGAACACCTTCGCGATGTGGAAAGAAATGACAAGGACGCATCCAAACCAGTCGCTAGACACTTTCATTCATTCAAATAGCATATGACAGTTTGTGGCCTTTCCTTACATCTAGGCAGTTCGGAAAGCCGCAAAACACTAGAACAAAAATTTATATTCCAAATCGGCACCCTTGATCCCCACGGAATCAACGAGCGCTTTTCATTCAACTAATTTATTCCTGTTTTCTCGTCACCATATTCCCACCTATGGCGTAGCTCCACTTTCTGCATATAAATCCACACACAACCCACAATTCCTCTAATCGCTCTAACGAAGGGCTAACGCTCGAAACGTCAGCTTTTTTACCCTTTACGGTGGCTAATTTACGTTTTCAACCCAGTTGTTAACACTAAATTACCTGCTATACTCTCCCACCGACGCAGCACCACAGTTTCTTTAGAAACTTACCCCTTAATGCATTTTTTTACCCGCTTAAAGGTTTCGGTCATTCGTGAATATCTCCTGACGTGCGTGTGGATAAAGTTCGACTAGAGACCTACTCAGACAAGAGTGAGATCGTTGAAGATTGTATGTGAATATTCCGTAGTCCCAAAGCCAGTCTATTGTCTTCGCCATTGTTTTCTTTACCCAGGAGCTGTATGCTCAATTAATTTTGGTTTTGTTTGGAAATCTTGCTCGTTCTCTGTCAGGTATTCTTGAATACAAAATTTAAATAAATTTTAAACGCTCCAACAATTTACATTCAGTACCTCAACATTTGGCACAAGCTCTCTTCAAAACGACTCGGTCTTAGTCTTCCCGTGACAATTGTCACGCCGGTAGTATATATACTCCGGTGAGGGCGAGTCCTTTCAGCAGTAGCTTTTCGTAAAATCATTCTCGATAAGAATGGCCCGTATCATTTCCTGATCTTTTATTTTGCTTACGATGTACAACGCCATTTTGCAACCTGAACCTGAACCAGTACGAAAAGATCAAAAACCTTACGCGTGTGCATCATTTGCAATTAGTCGATCGAACATGGAAGCTACTTCGAAAATGTTACTCCTTCTATTTATGGTTGCCTTCGAAGTTTTCGCAGGTAAGTGTTTCATCATTCTCTTGTGTGTTACAAGTAACCTTTGTAGGCATAGTACTGCTAGTAACTGTGTTGATTATCGAAGCTGTAGTGAGGTACGATCGTCTAGCAAAAGGTGAAAAGTGATGATTCTGTATGCCTATGATTTTGTCGAATATTTTTTCGGATATTCTTCTATGTTGCTGAATTTCCATCTTTGATATGGTAGCAAATGTTGCAAAGAGTGTGGTCATTTTTATTTATGCGGGAACTGAGGGCCTTGTTCACTTTTAACCTTTGCCCCACTCAGAATCGATATGAAAGATGCCAGCTGTTAATGCAGACTATGTTTCATTTGCATTTTGCAGTTAAAGCTATTGTAATTGTGATTTTGGAGAAATCATCTCCCCTTCTTAATAGAGATGTTTCTTTTTCGCACATTGATCAATATTTGACGATATTTATGGTCCGTACTTGAGAATTGATCAATGACGTACTTTCTCAAGGTTCTCAACTAAAGCTCTTTGCCAAAGGGACGGTTAGTGAAATTGAATATGTTTATGCATCATGCAGTACATACGCATAGAGATATCTTTTTATCTGTCAATATTCCCAAACATTCGTACCTATAATTAAGAAGTGCCGTTTACATTAAATGAGTTTGTTTCTCAAGCAATGTGTGATAACTTTTTTTTAACTATTCCAGTTATCTAGGCTGGCTGTTTAGCCCAATCTGGAAAAATTGTTCGTGGATTTTTTTTGTTGGTTTGTGTGTTTGTTTTCTTTTTTTTAAACATTGTCTAAAATGAAATCAAACTACCTGTAAATACTTAGCAGATGTCTGTGTTGTCAGTTTCAGCTGCTGATAGAATTCCTGTGGCAGATAGAAGTAAATATGAGATGTATTTGGAAAAGTTTGAGACCAGTCGTACCCACTACCGACCAGATGGAAAAGAAAATTTACAGAATGCAACCATTTTCATGAAGGAGAAGTTTGAAAGTGTAGGATTAGACGTAGAGTTGCAAAATTTTACCACAAGTGACACAACAACAGGACAGGTAAGCTGTTATGTTATACTGATTGAACTGGCACACATCCAACTCTTTGCAGAGGCTGTTGCAAGCAGATTGGCAGAAGAGCAGTTGGCCCAAAATAATATGCAAACAAATTTCAACTCTTTTTTGAGTGCTTGTGTTATGCAGATAGTTGAACTTAACTGACCTTCCTTTGAAACTTTTAACAATGAATTTATTTGCCTTGATGAAAAAGCAAACAGAAGGAAAACAAATTCAAAGAGAACCCTCTCTGTTTATCATGTCATTGTCAATTTCAACACCTTTTTAATCCAGAAGGTACACTCTAAAGAGGGCCCCAGAGGGTTCTCTCTGGCACTCACATCATTGCTTCCTCTGACAAAATCTAGCTATGGCCTTGATAGTAAAGTGTATTTAGCTTTTATGTTTATATTAGGGTGACATGCAAGTTAAGGGGGCAATTCGCAAACCCATGATAATTTTACATGACTAAGAAACTTTTTGACAAACTTGATGTACAGAACTGTTGTTAATAAATGTCACTCAAACTTTTATCTGGGATGATACTGAGTAAATCTGTTGACTTGCCTGAATTTTGTTTCAGACTGCTAGTGGCACAAATGTGATAGGCATTCTTAAAGGTCAGTTCTTTGGTACTGCAAGCGATGATGCCATCATCCTTGGAGCTCATCTTGATACACAAGGTCTTCAGCAGTATGGTGTTAACAATGACGGTTCTGGTCTCACAGCTCTTCTTACTCTGGCTGAAGATCTCACAGGTGAATTCTTCTATTTCCTGTCTTGCCATGTCCAACAAATGACCCATTTTACCTGTGTCATTGCAGTGCAGTGGTATAAAATGTAAGTCAACCTTTGCTCTACTGGGTAGAAATCCTTAGCAGTTTATTTGAAGGGGGTTGTTTAAATAACCTGTTAAATAATGGAACAATTTTTCTTATGATGTATACTATTGATGATGAGTATGATACAATTCCTTCATTTACCCACATACTCTGCATCTTGTCAATCTGGAGAAAAAAGGTAGCAATTTGGCACACAGGTAGGCAAATTGAAGAGCCTGGTGCAGATACTCATTGTATGACCCAGCCCCTTTCAACATTTCCAATCCCGGGAGTGATGGTGAGGTAATTTCTCGTCAATCAGGGCATTGATGAGGACAAATATTTATGACATCAAAGAGTTCTCATTTGATTCACTGGTAACACCAAAATTGCTTGCAATGTAGGGTAGGCACTAGCTAGAGAGAATTAATATTCAGATTGTACTTGTGATAGGGTCAAGATTCTTACTTTTTTCCTCTGCAGGAAAGGACAAGTGTGTTCAGAATCACAGCATTCTATTTGTTGCCTTTGATCGTTCTGAAACATTTGATGTGCAACAGGGCAATGCAGTATGCAACAAAAGCTGTGGAAGTAAGGCATTCATTGATGGTATCTCTAAGGTTCTTCAGGGTGGCACAGTCAAGATTGCAATCATTATGGATTGTATATCAAACTTCAACCTTCAGAAGGACTCCCAAAGAGAATACAAGCAACCAGTAAAGGATTATTTTAGTACATTTGTTGAAATGCAGGGGTTGATTTATGAAAACAAAGGAAATTATCTGGCAGTGATTGGAAGAGAGGATGAACAAGATGCCATGAGCAATTATGTTAAAATGTTTGAGGAGGTTAGGACATATTCACAGTATGTGCCTGTTGAGTTCATGTGGAACTTCAAGGGAAAACCCACTGGCCTAAATTTGACAAATGTAGAGACAGCATTTGCAAAGTCAGACACTTTGAGGTGAGAAATAGTTACCACTTGGTCAAAGTCAGATGAAAGTCCAAAAATCTACCCTCCCAATGGTTATTATCTAGGTTTTAACAGGAAGAAGTAACAAGGATCACTGCGATCTCCCCTCAGTGGGAGACTGATTTGTGGCTGGCATTGACCTTGTTGGTGCCAACCCCACTGTAAAGTCCTGTGCCAATTGGAAATTGACTTTTTTCAGAATTCTGACTTGTTTTACGTTTAGAGGTCAGGTTATCTTATATCTGTAGCAGAAACTTGACTGTTACTCTCTAAACTACCATATACCGATTACATCATGTAGGCACACAAACTGCAAATTGCATGACATACTCAATACATCATGTGTAAAGTAAAGGGGTTAAAGCCTAAGGAAGTTTATAATGTGAGAATTTTATTTAAATCCAACCTAGAATTAAGGCAAATTCACTGAAAATGTCCATTTGAGATACATTTTTGTATTTTACATTTTATTTTTAATTTCATGTTAAAACTTTCATGGTCAGTATGACTGAAGTAGCCTATCACTGTGAAGCCAAAATAGAAATGGTTCAATCTTTACCTGGAGAACCATAACAGAACATGATGCTTTACTTTGTCTTGAGTAATGAAAATATGGTAGTACTACTGTTATTCAACAATTTTTTTATCTTTAATACCAGTTTTTGGGATGCCAACATCAAGTCTATACTTTTGACTGACACCTGTTATCAACGAGACCCTTTGTATACCTGTAAGACTTCTGTTTGGTGTGACAACTCAGCAAAAGCTTCACTCAACGACAATCTCGGCTTTGCATATTCGACAGCAACTGCAGCCAAAAACCTCACCAAGTATTATGCTTGTACAGACAGAGGTACTGTTAGCCAATTAATGACTATTCACTTATAAAGGGAAATTTGTGCAAAGATTATTTTTAAGTTTTGCTCAAATGTAAAATGAGATACAATCAAACTCGCAAGTAAAGGACATGTGTAGAAGATAATACCAGGGGGCTAGAATCAAGGTATGAATTGTAAATATAAGTGACTAGAAAAATTTGTTAAAAAAGAATTGCAACTCAATGTTAATCTTACTATGCATGCTTTGCAGATGTGAATGAATGTGTTCTAGGGAATGCTGAGTGTTCCAAAGATGCAACTTGTAAAAATACCTTTGGGTCTTACGAGTGCAAGTGCAAGGATGGATTCACTGGAAATGGCTTTTCTTGTAAAGGTTTGTAGCTGAAATGCTGGTTGATTGGTACCCATCTTAGGGTGACTAGAGAAACATTTTGTGGTGGAGGTTGCCAAGTTGATGACCAGTGTTAGACAGTCATGTGGCAAGTTGTAGCATTTATTGTAACCTAGTTTTTAGGTCCGAATCAAAGTGTGATAAACATTTTCATAAACCAATTTGCCTCTCTCTTCCAGATTTCCATAGCATTAAGTCTTGATGTTGCTTCATGCTATGGTCACATAATTGTCCAAAGACAAATGCAAGCAAAAAAAGTAATACTGTAAACTCCAAAGACAGGTGGTGTGGTCAGCATTTTTGTGCATTGCATAGTATAACACAACTTCATTATTCCATTCTCTAGTAGCAAAATTAAATTACACTCTACCATATCAATGTATTGGCTGGCAGACGGGATGAGAGTACAGAAAAGTTCCTACTGCAGGATGTTTTCTGATTGATCACCATATTCTCTGATAAATTTGGTTACAATTATGAAGAGATGAATGAATGGAAGTTAAGAGAATCAACATTAAGCTCTTGGGATGTAAAGAGTAAATTTTAAAACCCTTCAACAATCCTTCAAAAATTGCTCTTGTTTTTTGCTTCATACAGACATAAATGAATGTGCAGAGGGAAGCAAATGTAACAAGGACGCAGTCTGCACCAATTCCCCAGGTTCATACCACTGTAAATGCAAGATGGGATTCAGTGGGAATGGCTTCAATACTTGTGTTGGTGAGTTTTAATGACTTGACCTAGGAAAACTTTGACTTTTATTGTTTTTTATTATTATTGCGTTATGTGTGTGCTCAGGGCAAGTGGCCCTTCCAGCCAGAACTTATCGTGGTTTCCATAGTGTGAAGCAACAAGAAGTCTTACTACTCCCCTCTGGTTACTCACAGGGACGAAAAGTTGTTACCTTCACGAGGGAAGAGTTGTTGCCCTTGGGGGAAGAGTTGTTATTTTCAGGGGGGAAGAGTTGTTACCCTTGGGGGGAGGAGTTGTTACCTTCAGGGGGGAAGAGTTGTTACCCTAGAGGGGAGGAGTTGTTACCCTCAGGAGGGGAAAAGTTGTTACCCTCAGGAGGGGAAGAGTTGTTACCCTCGGGGGGAAGAGTTCATTTAACTCTAACATTTTTTTCTTTCCTTATCAGCCTCTGGGACTGGAACTGCAGCTGCCGTATTTTTACACGTTGTGATGCCAATTGTTGTAGGCCTTCTAGAATTTACCATGTAAAGTGTGTCAGGGCACATATTTTTTAGACAGGAGGTCATTATTTATTGTCTGAATATATTTTTGCCCACAGATTTTTAGTTATTACGTAAACTTACTTCCAAAATTTTATCTCACTATACCTCTATAAGTTACAGGCGTGTACAAATTCATTTTTTGGTGGTTTATTTTACTTTTTATTGTAATTTATTCATTTCCTTTAGCTTTTATTTTAAGCTGTTTTATCTCTCTCATTCCGTGGAAAAAGCAAGAGTTTTAATTTAGAATATGAATTGAAACCTGTTGTGAGTGTGGTCTCTAAGGCATTGAATTAAAGAATTTTGGTTTTTCAACACCTTATGTCTACTACATCCCTTACCAATAATTGTTTTAGAGTAAAATTTAACATGCACATGATGCATATTGTTACAATCGTGGCCACAGTTCCTCTTCCGTACACTGTATAATGTAATTGTTTTTCTGAAATAGAAATATTGCCAAGGACGGTAGGCACAAAGGTGCCGCTTGTGATGTACGTCCCCGCTATTTAACGTTGTAACTGCCTTACTGGAATTCTGCCTTTCGAGATGGCTTCAGAATATTTCTTTGCCGCTCTTGCTTTTTTGTAGAATTTGATTCCTTTCCTTTTTCTGAGTTTTCAGTAACCGAGTGGGAGATTTCTCTACTTGGCATTCGTCAGAGTTTTGCAGCCGTGGTTTGGAATGTTAGGCAACGTTCCCTCCAAGAGAACGGCCGCTCCCGACCAAGAAATTTTCCTGCGCGAGTACTTTCTTACTACAAGAATTATTTGTAGCGTTACCTTTGGCTTCCTCACGAGAAAGCAAATGAAGAATTTGGGAAGGGTTGTCTTCACAACCATTGATATCCATGACAAAACAATGTCAGACAAAGATCTTTTCCGATAAAATCTGCTCTCTCATAATATGTGTTTTACTTAGACATTAAGTTGTTTAGGGAGGGAGTACATTCAATGTATCTAGCATTGAATTAATTACTAATAGCAAGTCTCATCAGCATTTCGCACCTTCAAACGAGAAAATAACAAAATTTAACTTTTTACCTCGAAATTTTCTTTTGAGACGCACCAGAAAAAAGGGGGTTTTACAACTCTGTTACAAGAAGTATTTTTAGAGCTTTGAAAGAGATTTTACGACTAATTTTACGCTTCAATAAATGATTTCTTAAGCGTTAAGCAGCGACAAAACATGTCTGCGTTGTATATGATCTCACTGAAATTTCCCTCTAGTGGACCCAGTGTAACTGGACGTTTATTTATTTAATGAGTTGAGGTGAAAGAAGGTCGAAAGTGGTGTGTCGTCTTAACTTACGGCCCTTAATTGCTTTTCTGTATTGGTAAGAGACAAGCAGTTGCGATTAGTAATCGATAAGTATAGGACTAATCACTTTTGACGCTACTTTGAGTGCTCTGTGCTTTTATTACAGCGTGACGTTAGTACTTCCCTAATCGTAGCATGCGGCATTTGTTGAATGCAGTGAAGTTTGTCTTGGAATGGTCGACTGTACTTACTTCAATGTAAAGTGAGTCTTTCTTTTGTGTTTTGGCTCCATCACTATCAAAAGCATATCAGGCTTGACTAAATAGCATTGTTGTTTTTTGTCCCAAAATCTTAGCCGTCTTTCAAGCTTATCTTTCCACCTTCATCAGTGACCTTTCTTGTCATCTGTCATGATCGCTTCTCTTTACTTCTTGGAGGTATTTTTGAATGTGTCTTTTTTTTCTAGATTTTTTCTAGATTTGTTCGTTTTTACAAATCAAACTTGCTAAACTCTGCGGGAAGTCCGTGTCGTTTTGGCTTTTTCAGAATTAATATTTCCAGTCTTTCAAAAAGAATTCCAGACAATTAAATTCAAATATTTTTATATTGATGCATTTAATTTATCATCGTACTGTTATTAATGAAACTCTCAGTCATTTCTATGGCAACAATAAGCATATTGAAAATGCTAGTTCCATCAGATTCTAAAGCAATTCCTTTTCCAAATATAGTTTATATTAGCACGACGTTTGGAAACTTATCGTTAAGTAATCTTCAAAATATTCGTCTGCATTTAATTCATGCGCTAAAGTTGCATGGTTAGGTCCAGATTTCTTTTGCATGAGGAGCTTGAAACATTTCATTCTTTTGAAGTAGCTCTTATTTTAAAAGAGAAAATAATGTCCCATCATTTCTCTCGATTTTCGTAATCTCAAAAAAATGGTTCTTAAACTCTTTTTTCCATATTATTGATGACAGCAAATAAGATCGTCGAGTCCAATATGTCATCGACGCCCGCTCTGATAAATTCGATAAATTAGTGGAAAATGGAATCTTTAAAATAATATTTTGGGGGTTTTTTACGGTTTAACGATTCTCGTTGAAATTATCCATTTCTTCGCTAAGTTACACCGAGTGATTTCTTCTTTTAGTAAAACGACGTGAATCGTTAAATTGAGTCATCTACGTTTTATATTAAATACGCTAGTTACTCGTAAGAGTACACATAAAGTTATTACATTTCTTCGAGGACTAAGTGTTCTTATACACTCAGTTTAAAACAAACTTGCTTTGGAAATGCTCCTCAATAGAATCCTGATTGAGGAACACTTAACAGCGCCTTTTTCGAAGCAAACTAAAGTTCTGAGCAGATATAGCAAATGTAATTAAAGCAACGAGCTTCTCTGTGAGAAAAATGGACAAATACCCACTTTCACTGCCTCCAACGTCCTTCCTGAGGTATGGACGTGGGATTAAAACTAGCTGTATCTTGGTGACTCTAAAATCAGGCTGAAAATTAGTATCTCCTACTTGTATGGCTACTACTTACATAAGTCTTGACTAATACTGTAGTAAATTCATATCGAGGCAAAGCTAAAAGATTCTTCGGAAGGCTGTACGTTGGTGTGTTATACGAAAAATATAGAAGTATTCCCATATCGATGTGCATCAATTTTCTGTAACAAGATGAAACTTTTCTTATCGGACTCACGAGTCTGTTGCTCCTTGCTGAAACGTTGAAAAAACACAGAAAGTTTGAAAACGCTGTGACAATGTATCACTTTCTGAACTGAATCTTCATCAATTTCTCTCAATTAATAGGTCGTTTGGTAAACTACTTATTTCAGAGAAAAATCAATGGCTACTTACAGCAGCAGCACAACCCGTTATGAAACAAACAACGGACACTGGATTACTTTGCCTGCCTTTCAAAAATTAAAGCGCCTTTTCTGACAACCGGGTCCCTCTATTTCTACTTCGTTGTTTATACTTTTTTATCCTACTTTCTCAGTGTTATATCTGTATGCTATATTTCAATTTACGTCAAAGTTCGTCGCAGTCGTCATCCTCAACACCATGTTGCAGATGGGCTAAAGGAAAGAAGACTGACGAGTACATTATTTCTATTCATCCTTGGATCTTTGTTAACTTTCCTGCCGAAGGTAGCCTGCTTGGGTGTGTCTAACTTTCCTGAGCTAATTTTTCGCCTTTCCTTCCCGTCATTTTATGATATTGGTTTGGTAATAATGATATTTGTGACAATCAACTCGCTAATGAATCCTATAGTTTACGTCATACCGTCGGATGCCAGAATTTAGAGCCGGTATATTGCAAATAATTTTCGACGGTCTCCGAACCGCTTACAGCCGATCGATGTCCCATGCACTTCAAAATCGTTAACTCTCTTTTTTTTATCTCAACAATTTGTATCCTGACTTCAACATCCATATTCTTCGTATTCTTCTTTACACATTTTCTTTGGTACTAACAAAGAGAATTGGTTTAACAATCAAAGCTTCGTAGGTTGGAAATCATTTCCTATATTCTAGTGACCTAAATTAATGTTTCAGCAGTATTGTTGTAAGGATAAATTAGATGCTCGTCACTCTTAGGGTTTAAGAGTACAGCTCACACTAAAGAAAAAAAAAACAAGGGTTATTTGTTAGGATTATAACTATTGATACTACTATTATTACCAATATAATTATTGTTATATTTACTATGATTTTTATGCAAAGTAAAATTAGAATGAAATAGAGTGCTTGGTAAAGAAGATTATAAGTCCAGCCTCAACACTGTATCTACAAATGGGTGTTGATGGTAAGAAATTACCACAAGAAAGGAAAACCTGTCTTAAAATGAAGTTAGCTAGTAAGCATTCTTATTTCATTTACGATAAAATACAAACAGATACGAACATAATATGCAATACAATAACATAGATCCAAAAATTAGGGTAAATCAACGAGGATAAAAACTGAAATGGGCTTTCGGTACCCGCTGGGACATTGAAAAACTACAGCACGCAAGAAAAAGAGCATCACTGGACCATTGATTGAAAATTAGACCATTTGCCTTTATTTGTAAGTTATTTGTTGAATTAACAGTGGCAACATTACTCATTACAAGAAAGACGAAGACCTGCCTCCCACTGCATTCCATTTTTTTTGTTTTGTTTTGTTTCATCTCAGAATTAAATGTGTGGGCGTAGTCAGACTTGATATCATCACCGTTATAATATTGTATTTGTGAGGTAGCACCAGCTATAGAGGAAGAGTAAAATCAGATCTGGCCCATGTATCTCATGATCTCTTTCTTACCCAGAGCAGTGCATAAGCCTTTGTGGATTGAATACGTCGAGCGGGATTTACTATGTTCTATTGCATCACAGAATGTGCCTATGTCCACCGTATTGTGCTTAAAAAGTAGTGCACTTAGTCACGCATGCTGATTTATAGTTAGGGTATGACGTAGATATTTGAAAAGTGTAAGACTGTTAAGCATATTTAAATGTGTAAATCTTTTATCAAGATTTTATTAGCTGTTAGGCCTCCTCTGAAGCTGTGTTGCAGACTATAACAGACTACTATAAAGTGGGGTCTTTCAAGACATATATCTCGAGTGTATTGCCAAGGTTTGTAAACATACAACATTTCAGTTATAGAACACCAAGGGACTTAGAGATGTAGCAAGAGAGAAAAAAACTCGCTTCCTATCGCTGTGGCCCAGGTCTGATTCCTAAACCTAGCGGGTAACATTGTTTTTCATCTTTTGGGTTCTTTTCATTACTCCGAAGGTTTTCCTCCGAGTGCCCCAGTTTTCCTTCTACCGTCAAAACCAACACTTCGAAATGCAATTATACATGAAAATAATGAAGAAGTAGAACCTTCTAAAGAATGTCCGTGGTTAGATACAATTTATAACCATAAAAACCCTTCGACTTTTTCTCTGAAGTAATGGCAAATTGGAATTTAGTGCAAAACTATAGCAAATGTTACCATGCGGTGATTTTACAAATCATCACCTCTCATAAGGAAGAGGTGGTTGTGAGATCGTC